AGCCACTTTGTAAACAAGTCGAATAATTCGTTATTTTGCCTACTCGGGACCCTCGTACTACCATAGCTACTTTATTCCTAAGCGGGGATCTAGCCCAAGGGCCTCCGGGGGACTTGAACTCGGCGTTTTACGAAAAAAAAAGAGTCCAGCCGAGATCCACACACCCACGCTACTCGATTGGCTGCGGCGGCTTATAACCTCGAGTTCAACATGGAGTTCGAGTGCATATAACGCTACGAAATATATTTCCATCTATTTATAGCGATCTTCGCGCACAGGCTTGATTTATATCGACAGCTATTAGGGTGACCTGGCGCTGCCTTGTCCCTATGTATACGTATAAGCAAACTATTTAAATTAAAAAAAGAACTACGCGACGATGATGGCAACAGAGAAAGAGAGACAAACTGCTTCGTGGACAGGTGGAGTTTACTCGAACGAGAGAAGAATTAAAGACAGAGAGAGAGGCAGATACCAGTGTCACCCACATGTGAAAGCACTTGTTACCATGTTACGAGTGGTATATAAACTTACACGACTCATGCCCCAAACTCGATACAAGCTCAAGTTTTTTACTTGGAAGTGCATGACCTTATGTACCGCAATTCGACCGCGTTCTGATTTGTCACCAAAAAACACTCGTCAACTCGTTTTTTTTTTACCGGACTTTGATCGAAAGACGCTTGATTGATTATATTTCTATCACGCGGAACCACTGATGTGACACTGCAGCGGTGTGCACATCCTCGCGGTCTTCCTGACCAAATGTTCCATCGCGATGGAAAAAAAATTAGCCGCATCATTTTTAAAGCGAATGCAACGCGAAACTACATGCGCAGGAATGATTCGACGATTCTGATACCGAGCAGTTCACCCAAGCATCGGGTGTTTAACGATCGCTCGACGCGAAAAAAAGTTTATTGCCGAAACACCCACCCTCGCAGCGAATATATAAACAATAAATTAGGATTTTCGAGCTCGAGTTGGGCATGGTTCGCACGATATGCAGCAACAGTTATACGATTATTACGCGAGGACGGACGAATATACGGGCTCGCGTCTCGATTATGGGCCTTTTTTTGCACGATTTCGAGTTGCGTGCACGGCTTAATGCGAAACACACGCGTGGATCGGTACCCAACGAGAGCAAAATAGTTGTAAACAATCGCGTAGTCGCGTATACATAAATTTCTCCCGAATTTGAGAAAAGACCATTTATCGGTCGAACGAGTGCATCTACACATAAGCGATCCATTGGGAGAAAAAGATAGGAAAAAAAAGGGCAAAAGACGCTACTGACACTGCACGCACGCAATTGGCATGAAAACGGGCGAGTTCGCAGCAGCAGCGCGACGCGCATCGGATCGCTGCTGTAACACGTGTGCGCTGCACGACGACGACGATGCGCCCCGAGGAAAAAGATCGTACGTTGAACCCAGCGCGTTTGACTCTTTTTTGCGCAGCTCCTTTCGTTTTGTTTTTTTTTCTTTCATTTTTTATTTTTTGTTCTTTTGCATGCGAAACGCCAAGCTCGAAAAATCGCAATGTGCAGGCAAATGCGGGTATTCTATTATATACATTTATTTACGTACGATGCGCGCGTACGGAGAGCTGCGGCACATGTTGCGCGCCAACGGCCGAAGACGATTTTAAAGGCCTCGCGCGTCCGCCTGCACCGGACAGTGCGTGTTACGTACGCGTTGTGTCATACGCGTCGGATAACGACGAGCGAAGGAAATCCGAGGCGCGCTCGATGACTCGGTCCTTCGAGCCGCTTCGTTAGCAGCTCCGAACCGTATCCACGATTCGTCGTCGATCAATCAATTATCGATGGGGTTGCGGCGTTGTCGGTTTTGAGAGCTGGTGCGGACGACTCGTTAAAGACGCAGAGCCATGTCGCGAGCGATGCCCTCCGCTCCCTATACACATTACGAGACCCTGTGCAGCTGTTTCGCTGCTACTACTTTTTTACGCTGCAGTTCTTTTCCCATACATATTCTCGAGCTTACGCGACTTCGGCGGCACGTTTTCTCGCTCGCGCCCCAGAAGATCCATGTACATCGGTCTTGGAGCACGTCTCGCGCCTTCGGAAAAGTCGACTTTTAAACGTTCCCACAATGTGATGGGGTTTAAATCGCTCCCTAAGATGCGTACGTGCTAACGAGCCACCTGCATCGTTATCGCCTTCGACGACCCGTTGACAATGAAAATCTGCCGATGGATGGATCGTGGGACTCTTCTTTTTTTTTTTTTTTCTTCTAAAAATTAACCGTTGCCTAAGCAAGATCGGTTCACGCGGGGATCGTCATGACGCCACTGATATAAACTAACTAAATTTTTATTATTGATTAATCTTCGATTGAAACTGATAAAAAGAGAGTGTGCTCGGAGTACGTTGCATTCTATAGCAGTGATTGGGAATTCAATCAAGTTTACAAAAATGTAAAAGGAGTTGTCCTACGATGTCTGGTTCAAAATCTCATTTTTGAGTTTATCATAGAGCCTCCTCTATGAGGAAGCAAAAGTTGATCGAGTTTCTCTTTTCTGGTGTTTTTAGTAATTTTCTGAGGCTCTCCGAAACAATAACGATCGTGTCCACCATTTATACACACGATACCGATAACACCTTGGCCGATTGAAGCCCCAAGCATTCATCGACCATTTATCGACTCTGTGCCACACATGGTATATAATTGCAGAATTAGCGTTAATTTTTTTTTTTGGTTTTATTATGCTCTTATCGTTTGTCCAACCCACGAGCTCGCGTGTTTCGAGGCGTTTCCAAGTCGTAAAACCAAATTTGGCGTGAATAGACGTTAATGAGCATAGTATAGAAGTAATAAGATATCTTGGAGAACTTGAAAATCCTATTAATCTTCTTTCGAACGCATCGTTCGTGATTTTTTTTTCCACATTGGAAATTGGATCACTCGATAGCATTATTATGATTATTGCTATTATTATTATGCGGTATGTACAGCGGTAATAGGAAAAAAATTGGAGAAAAAAAACATTTTGTCGTCTCGAAATTGGATACTATAAATAACTGCATACACTCGAAGTATCGTATCGACCTCTTTTGCATGCATTGTCACAAATCACGCTTCAAGAGCGCGCCTTTATGACAATTATAAAAGAAAGAAAGAAAAAATGTCGAGCTGATTATTGAAAAAGAAGCGACGACGGAATATTCTCGCTTCATAATCGTTCAATTTGCGATGCGAGCCTCTAAATTTAAATCCGATGATTATAAGCTCGTATATAGTCGAGTATCGTTATAGCGAGGAAAAAAAGAAACGAATAAGAAGAAAGGAAGCGATTGTAATAACAAGAGGAGACAAGTCGATTATAAACTATGTAGCTACGGAAAATTGATGGTTTTACTACGAGCCACGAATTGCCGTGAAACGCGGTGATTTTCTTAAACCGCGCACAGATGCGCGCGGACAGATTTTATAAATACATAAAGAATTTGTCATCAATTATCCATCCTGTCCGACACGCGAGTTCTCGCGATAATCGCGATCGGCTCTCGAGTGCCTTCGCTGTACACACAGAAAAAAAAAAAAGAAAAAGAAGACAGCTATCGTCCGAGTATTTCTCTCTCTGTCTCTGTTGACGAAAAAAAAGAAGGAAAAAAATCGAGCGAGAAGAAGAAAGAGAATGAAGAGGAACATTTCCATTTGGTTATATATATATTTAATATAACTGTAATACATAATATTCACCTTGTTTGTCATTTTACGCGAAGAAGCGCGCGCGCGCGCGTTATTATCTTGGATATATAGAGACATTTGCACGATAGCGAACGTGTACGTGTTTTTAATAATTAGTAGCCGCTCTCTCTCTCTCTCTCTCTCTCTACACGAGTACGATATATTATATCGAATACATGTGCAATACATAATAGCGCGATATTTTGATTCCGAGCGCACCAATACACGTTTTACGTATATTAAATGTGTGTATCGTATACGGATGAATCGAAATTTTGTTGGTCTTGTTTCTTTTTATTTTACGAAATCGGCACTGCTGCCGCTGCTTCTGCTGCTGCTGCTATCGAGAGTCGCGCGTGTACGCGGAAAAATTTTAATTTAGATACGTGTATTGAAGAACTGACGAAACGATGAAAAAGTATATAATTTAATAACGTCGTCGATAAGGCTCGACAACGACTTGGAGCAAGTGTGTAAGTCTGTGTGCGTGCGTGTGTGTGTGTGTGTGTACAATGTATACATGAGACAAGACAGTATATGAATGTGTGCTCGTCTGTTATTCGCAATGTAGCATCGGGTCGCTTCGCGAGCGCAAAAAAGAAGCAGAAACCGATGTCGGTCCGGTATCGGCGAAAAATCGGCCCGTGTCCGGCGTGCCGAAGAAAAGCCGGTACATTCATACTCGAACATACATATATAGGTAATGATACAGCGGCAGGCACGAGCCAAAGTACACACACGAACTCGATAATAATTATTTTTATCGCATTATGTATATCTATAGGCTCGCTGCTGCAGTAGTCACGGTGTCGCACGTGTGACTCTCGTCGAGCGAAGTCAATTGCCGCGGAGAGAGGGATAATACAAGTTATAAGTAGTCGCATTTTATTTCTGCGTGGAGGGGTTCGCCATAAGGGCGCGTGCTTGCGATGCGTGTGTATGTGTGTGTGTGTGTGTGTGTATGTAAAACGATCCCTGGTACGTGCTAGGCCTGCTTCTCTCTCTCTCTCTCTCTCTTTTTTAAGTGTGCACAGTAGCAGCATCGGCAGCCACGTGCGAGTGGGCGGCGCAAAGGATCGAGCTCTCTTTCAAGAGTATATATGCACGCCGCAGGAAAATCATCGAGAGCAGCGGCGCGCCGCCAACGATATGTACAATATCTCATATAGTGGGAGTAGAGAGAGAGAGAGCCGCTTATATGCCATCGGCGAAGAGAGAAGAAGCTTATCTCGACGATCGAGACAACATCATTAGTTGAACTTTGCTCTCGGCCACGAACGGTGCCGCGAGCGAATCGTCGGAGCCGAAGCTTCAGTCAGTCAGTCAGTCAGTCAGTCAGTCGCAGGCGTCGGTCGCGCAAAATTAAATTAGCCTCTATAATACACCACAAAAGTCGAAGCGCCGCGTATTAAATCGGAGAGCTGCATAAAAACAGAGGGAGCACCGCGTATATTATTACATTAATATTACAAAGATACATGTGTGAGTGTGTGCTATAAGCTGCGAGGCAGCCACGATAAGAAATCGGAATCTAAAAGAGCAACAGTAGCAGCAGCAGCAAAAGAACACAAGTGCGCGCCGATAACAGGAGAGAGAAGCAAGTGCCCCGCCGCCAGTGTCGTGATAATCGTGCTGCAAAGAGCAGTATAGTGCCTTTAGACCCCCAATAGACTATTGTATACGCGAGTATATCGGCGTCGCAGCACCGCATCGGCAGCAGCAGCAGCAGCAGCAGCAGCGAACGACAGTCCCCGCATACACATCGGTGTGACACATCACGAGTCAAAGTCTCGAGTCGAGTCGGAGTCAAGTCAATCGAGTCAGGTAAGCGGCTCTCCTGCTTTTAATTCTCCCGAGTCGTTGCGGTCGTCTTCGTCGTCGTCGCGTGCTCGCGAGTCTCGAGCGAGCGAGATCGAGCTTGCGCGTGGCCGATCGAGGGGCTCGTCTTTCCGATCGTCGATTCGTTTCACAACGCGGCCGTGTATATACGAATATACCAGCAGTGTGCTCGTCACTTTTTTTCTTCACAAAACCGTGTCTTTAACGCGTGACTCCGGCTGTGCTTTTGTGTTGGTATCGGACGAGCGAGATAAGAGGCACAAAATCAAGTCTCGAGGCACACTCGAGGAATCGAGAAAAACAAGCGCAGAGTGTGCGTGCGAGCCGTCGTATCGTACGTAATATATATTTACGAGTAAGCTCGAGCGACGCATTTTTTTTTTGTGCAAATCGGAGCTTCGATGGAAATATTTTTCTCTCCGTTAGCTATATAGCCGTTGTTGCGCGAACTGCAGCACGAGATGCACGATCGACTTAACCGTATAACATAGCTATTTGTCGCGAGTCGCGATCGTCGTCTCTTTCTTTCTCTCTGAACGGAGCGCCGCGAATATCGCGCTTTTTCGATGCTATCGAAGGCGCAACGCAGATACATCGAGCGATAGATCGAGTGTGCACGTATCGTAGATATACAAACATTCCTGGCAGTCGTCGTCTCTCGTGCTTCATGGAATTCATAATAAAGCCGAGCGACGATTTTTGACATGTCGCGCATCGAAAATAATACAGGCGCTGCGCAGCCGATCGGACCATACGCACCGGCTTTTGCTTCTGCTGCTGCCATTTCTGCCATAATATCAAACATATTACAAGCATTATCTTTTCGTGCGCGTATTTATTTTTTGCCGGATTGCTGCGCGCGCGCGCCCGATTCCTTCTTTTTACACTTCTTACTTGTACTCAACTTCTCGGCTCTCTGGTTGCGCGTTCAATATTTGACTTGATACATATGAGGCATTTCATGCGAAGTGTCCTAGCGCTTCGCCGCGCGGCCCAATTAAGCGAAATCACTCAGTTTCTAACTCACGTAAAAAGTATCAAAATATACTCAGAAAAAATAACTAACTAATGATTTCGATAGGAAATTTCCTCAGCTTTCCGATGGTGTGGTCAGATTTTCCGAAATTTTCCATTTTCCCCGGAAAAATTTGACATAAAGTTTAAAACGCAAATATCTCAAAAAGCCCATTTTTAAGATTTTTTTAAATAGTCCCAATCGAAAGCTGAGGAAATTTCCTAACTGTATGCAAGTTTTCAGAGTGTGCAATTGATTATTACTTAGTGAAATACAGCGAAGAACGTGTAAAAACGTGACATTTCGGCCCGTGCGGCAGCTGTTCCCGCGCGCAGTACCCCGCGCGGCGCAAAATCTCACGTTTTTACACGTTCGTCACTGTATTTCACTAAGTAATAATCAATTGCACACTCTGAAAACTTGCATACAGTTAGGAAATTTCCTCAGCTTTCGATTGGGACTATTTAAAAAAATCTTAAAAATGGGCTTTTTGAGATATTTGCGTTTTAAACTTTATGTCAAATTTTTCCGGGGAAAATGGAAAATTTCGGAAAATCTGACCACACCATCGGAAAGCTGAGGAAATTTCCTATCGAAATCATTAGTTAGTTATTTTTTCTGAGTATATTTTGATACTTTTTACGTGAGTTAGAAACTGAGTGATTTCGCTTAATTGGGCCGCGCGGCGAAGCGCTAGGACACTTCGCATGAAATGCCTCATATATTAATCCGCGCGCGCGCGAGCTCGTGTAATATAACCGTGGTATAATATATGTACACACAGACTCAGACGTGCATATAATAAAAGCCAGAGCTTACGTAACACCTGACGATGATGCCGATGTCGACGATGCCGACGATGATGATGATGATGATGATGATGATGATGACACTGGCTTGCGCGCGCGCCGCCGTTATAATTCGCTATCGCCCGACTTACAATATACTCTCGGCACTGCTTTAATAATGCGTAAGCTCGCTATATGTGTGTGCACCGACACAGGCGCACGTCTCTCGCTTTATCCGAGCGCTTTTTATCGTTCTTACTTTGCCTATACGCCAAAGCTCCCGCGAGTCGCGATCCAGCGCGGAGCCCAGCAACAACAACAGCAGCAGCAGCAGCAGCAGCAGCAGCAGCAGCAGCAGCAGCAGTGACTTGACCGACCGAGAGAAAGAGCAAGCGAGTGAGTGAACGAGAGAGAGAGAGAGAGAGAGTCCGAGAGAGGAAAATAACTGCGAAAATTGCCGTTGCAACCGATTGCAACTTTTTTTTTTCTTTCCTCGCGCACTCGTTCGTTTTTTTCCCCCGGCGGCGGCGATCGCTTCTGCCGCGCAACCCTGACGTAACTCGCGCCCGGATTATAACGAACTCACCACTCGGTCGCGGACGAGTATTACACATATACCGTAACGAAGGGAATATTTTGTACACAGGTTCCCCAACGCGCATATAAGCCGATCATCGACATGCATTTCGACGAGGATATACAGCGCGCCTTCGGCTGCTACCCCGAGCACCACCAGGAGCAGTACCACTACCAGGTGGGCTGCCAAGTGCCGCAGCAGTACGGCGAGCAGTACCAGGCGGCCGCCTGCTGGGAGAGGATGACCGGAGGCTGCGGAGGCGGTGGCGGTGGTGGTTATACGGGTGACGGCTACTACAGCCAAGGGAGCAGCAGCTGCGGCGAGCTCAGTCCCAAACTGCCCTCGGTCAGCGACGCCTTCTCCTTTTCCAAGAGCTTCACGGCTCAGCAGCAGCAACAACCGATCGCCAATTCAGGCTATCAGTGCAGCAACGATTACGTCGCTGGACAGTACGAGGCCGACGTAGCTCTGCTCTGCTATTCTCAGCAGCAACAGCAACAGCAGCAGCAGCAGCAGCAGATGGCCGACATGGACTCGCTTCAGGCCGTCAACGACTTCGATCTCAGTCTCATTCGGTGAGTTTGCCTACCTCCTGCGATATTCCTCGATGCTTCAGCCAGATTCAGCTCAGCTCATGGATTCGCTCGATTTTTTTCTCACAGTGGAGACCCGTCGATGCTTCCCGATCAGTACGACCAACAGCAGCAGCAACAGGTCCAAACGGTGCCAAACTGCTACAGCGCCAACATGGAAGTACAAGCATCACAACCACAGTCACAGCAACAGCCACAGGAGCTGGTGGAACCGATCTACCAGGTAGGCCACTTGATCGCCGACCAAGTCCAGCCGGACGTGAACTTCAACGAGTGCCCCGAACAGAGCCCGGCCGACTTCCTCGACGGCCTCGGCAATCACGTGATCCTGCAGCGCCGCCAGGTCTACGTGGACCAGAGCGTGCCCGCCTCGATCCAAAGCAGCAGCGCCAGCAGCGTCAGCAGCGGCGGCGCCCAGTCGGACGACTCGTCGGGCGGCGGGCCCGGCTATCCCTGCCTCTGGCTCGGCTGCGGACAGAGCTTCCACGAGCAGCTGGAGCTGGTGCAGCACATCGAGCGCAGACACGTCGAGTCCTCGGCCTCGTCGGCGGCCCACGGAGGCGGACCGGCGCACCATCATCATCACGGCTCGACGAGGCGTTCGCACAAGGAGCGCGAGGCCGCCAAGGCTGCCGCGGCTGCGGCTTTGGCCGTGGCTGGTGCTTCTGCTGCTGCTGGTGGCGCGTCTCCGCCGTCCTCGGGCAGCGACGACATGCAGTTCGCCTGTCTCTGGCAGGGCTGCTCGAGGGATCGGCCCTTCAACGCCCGCTACAAGCTGCTCATACACATGAGGGTGCACAGCGGCGAGAAGCCCAACAAGTGCACGGTAAGTGCGGTTCGAGAACTGGATATTATCCTCCGAGCGAGAGAACTGGACTAATGATTGTTTTTCTACAGTACGACGGATGCACAAAGGCCTTCTCGCGCCTGGAGAATCTGAAGATCCACCAGCGATCGCACACCGGCGAGCGGCCCTACACCTGCCAGCACGCCGGCTGCTCCAAGGCCTTCAGCAACAGCAGCGACCGTGCCAAGCATCAGCGTACCCACTACAACACTGTAAGTTACTTTTCATCCCGATCGACTTTGGTCTTGTATAATGTCAATTTTTCGAAATTCTTATTTATCGTGGCTCTTTACAGAAACCATACGCCTGTCAAGTAGTAGGCTGCGGCAAGCGCTACACCGACCCGTCGTCGCTGCGCAAGCACGCGAAAAATCACACGGCCGACCTCGAGGGCACCGGCAAGAGCGCCAGATCGGCCAATCGTCGACACTCCTCGACCACCAAGTCCTCCTCGTCGGGAGTGACGCAGCAGCAGCAGCAGCAGCCCTCGGTCACGGGCCGCAATCATTCCGTCACGTCGGATTACGGATCGCTCAAGGATCCCCTAGAAATGACTTACTTCGAAGAACAAGATCTCAAGCCATTCGTTGGACAGTACAATCCTCTGCAGCAGCAACAGATGCAGCAGCAGCAGCAACAGTACATTCAGCAACAACAACAACAACAAATACAGCACGTGCCAAGTCAGCAGCAGCAACACATGGACGACAGACAAGAGTACATACCACTGGAATCGGTGGCGAAATTCCTGGCCGACAACGGGACGGGCCGCTTCGCCCACAGTCTCGACAGTATCGGTAAGTTATATCATTTGTAATTTTGCCCACATGCATTTTTCCGAATCGGCTCTCTCTCTCGCGCTCTCGAATCGAACGTGCTGAGCGCATGCCTATATTGTACGAAATAAAAATACACAACGGCCAAGCGTGTCTGTACGTATACGTAGATGCAACGGTTTGCATCTCTTCGTACGTATATAACTTGTATAATACACACATGTGTGCTTGTGCGATGTGCGGCAGAGAGCAAAAAAAGGAATAAAAGTGCCAAGTCGACATGCGAGACAACGTGTCAGCCTCGCATATGCGTTCGTGTGTATGTATTATATGGGTTACCGACATAATCTCCGCTGCCAAAATCTCCGCGACACAATCTCCGCGACAAAATCTCCGGAGACCAAATCTCCGGAGACAAAATCTCCGCAAGACAAAATCTCCGGAGACAAAATCTCCGGAGACAAAATCCCGCGGGAGAAAAATGCGCACTATCACGCATCCTAAACACACTATCACGCATCCTAAACACACTATCACGCACCCAAACACACTATCACGCATCCAAACACACTACCACGCATCCCAAACACACTATCACGCATCCTAAACACACTATCACGCATCCCAAACACACTATCTCGCATCCAAACACACTATTACGCACCCAACCACACTATCACGCACCTAAGCACACTATCACTAATAATAAATAATAATATAAAATTAAATTCGGCGGAGATTTAGTCGCCCGGAGATTTTGTCCCGGAGATTTAGTCGCGGAGATTGTGTCGCCGGAGATTTTGTCTCCGGAGATTTTGTCCCGCTCCCGTATTATATATGTTATAAAATACGACTAGGCATCGTGTGCGCATATCGTGCAGACACGCGCGAGTGAAAAAAAAGGTCGAGCGAAAAAATCCCTCGAACTCGCGTCGTCGTCGTCGTCTTAGTCGTCTCTCTTGGCATTTTTTAATTCTCTCTCCTTCGCGTCGGAATATAATACTCGAGTTATACACTTGTCACTTTGTGAATTAGCATCCATGCGCGATGTATCAGAGTACTCGAGATGTGCGTATATATATAGAAAATAGAATAGTTGGCGCGTATACGTGTTTACGTGCGGCGGATCGAGCTTGCGGACGGACCACAATAATAGACCCACGGCGGGCACGAGGCGAGGGTGTATACAGTAATGACATATAATCTCAGAGGAGGTACACAACACTACGGAGCAGGTTGAAAAGCACTGACCCCATGGCGCGTGACAAAAATAAACATTTTTTTTACTCTCTCTCTAATTCTCGGGGCTCTTTGTTTTGGTTTTTCTTCTCTAACGAGGCTCCTTGACGCGATGCGTGTATAAAATTTAAGTACGCGATTGAAAAATAAACGCCGCCGCCGGCACACACGTGGCGGTGCAGCAGGCGATGGCACGCGCGCGCGCGACCGCACTCGAGAGAGCTTTTAATTTTATGCTTCCTCTCGATGACCGATGACTAAATTTTTTCTTCTCTGTTTGTTTCAGGCTACAGCATAGACGATGACCTGCAAGATCTGGGCACGGACATAGAGCAGCAATTCCTCGAGCTCAACAATCTGGACGACTCGGTCTTCATCGGTGGATAGCAGCAGGCGAGCTCGCCTGCACCGACGCGCGCGGGCACTAACTTTTTAAACTCCTCAGACCACAAGAGCGGTGCAAGTCCCTTATTAAGAACCAACATAACGACGAACCAGAACTAATTAACGAAATAAAAGAACAGCAAGTATTGCGACGTGTGTGCTTGTGTCGGCCCAGTGTAGGCGAGAAAACTTCCGAGAGAAGATGGAGAGAGAGAGAGAGAGAGAGAGAGCTTTTATTATATCTGCGCGCGGACGGCGAGACAACGCAACCCGTCTCCTATGTACGTGTACGAGAGCGCAGCTTATTAATGGGTTGCGTGTGTGCGGTAACAACAACAACAACGACAACAACAACCATCGATTACAACCGCAACAGCAGCAGCAACCGATCGAGAGAGAGAGAGAGAGATCATATGTATGTCAAGCGAGGAGAACGTCGTCGCGGTATAGAGGCACGCGACGAGCAGCAGCAACGCGAAATTCGCGTAGAGTAGTAGTAGTAGTACGATCATGATGATGATGATGATAGCACGAGAGACACACAACACACCGGTTGGCCTTGGCGACCGAAAAACCGGGCCAGCCGTGACTCGAACTGCACGCGGAGATGCGCGCCAACGCCGAAGAAGCGAGTGATATTGTGTGGCATCCGAGATAGAGAGACAGAGAGAGATTTACCTAGAGAAAAAAAAAAGCATTTCTTACGCTGTATTTTGTAGATACTTGACTCTTTGTTTTTTCTTTTTTCTTTTTTTTTTATTGTTCGACATCGACATACAAAAGAAAGTGTATAATAAAATTTGTTTTTGTTGCTATTTTCAAATTCAAAAATTTATAAAATTAGACCAAAGCGGTGCGCTCGGCGGTGTCTTCCTTTTTTTGTTCTTCGTCATCGACGAATTGTAAATAATTAATTGATCATAATAACGAGTATCGCCGGCGCATTTCAAGTATTCGACAGATTTAATTCTCACTCAGAGACACTTTAGCGAGTCTCCAAAATTATGTAATAATATTAATATAATCAACAACAATGGTGTGGCCTCGTACGGGGATGTTGGGGCGTTCGAGAGTATTCTTGCCTTCGTTTATTTCGTTCACTTGCAAGCGTCTCCGTGCTTCTCGCCGTCGGGAATCAGACCGCACAGAACCGATCTCAACTGCCTGAAGGCGTCTTGGTTCTTCGACTGAAACACACGCAGGAAGAACAACAATCAGTCAATGCGATGCATTACGACGATCGGTCGATTATGTTATGTACGCGCAAAAAATGCGAGCGAGCCAGCGATCGACCAGTTATATATTATAGGTATAGATATTTTGTAAAGTAGGTATTATGTTATATCGTGACATTTTCAATTGTTCGACGCTCTGTATCCGGTTAAGACTCGAATGGTTATTGGCCGGCTAAGTTGCGTTGAAAAATGTACAAAAAATTGTAAATAATGTACATCTTTTTTTTTTTATATAGATAGATTATACATCGTATATATTTTTTTCCGTTACCACTTTTATAATACTCCGCGTATACTTCATGTTTTATTTATTGCCGCGTTACGCGCTCCCAAAGACTTTGAGCGATAGAATTGTTTAATTATTAATGCCGCACTAGTTCATAACGGCCCGCCCGCCCGCCTCGATCGTGTGGGTGCGCCGAGCACGATTACCGATTTTTCTAGACTACTTTTGTATAATGCATGAATTAAAATTGTTATAAATGTGAAAATGAAAATAAAAAAAAAACTAGAACTGCGAATCGCAATAAAAGTAATTGCGACGACCAATAAATAAATTTTTACAAAGAAGTTACTTGTTTAGTTGCTCAATTCATTACCCGCATATATAATAAATTAAATTAATATATTATAATTAAATATCGCGTGTACTCACTCCGTTGACGACGATGGACGGTACGAAGCTGAGTGGCTTCTCGAAGGCGATCGTCTTCTCGCCGTTGGCGATGAGCAGTTTGTCGCCTCGCTCGCTGTCGGTGCAGGCCTCGATGTGCTTGACCGCCTCGTCGTTGAGTCCTTTGGACGCGGCGCACTACAAGAGAGAGAGAGAGAGAAGCCAATTACATTATTAGATTATAATCGAGGCGTAATGACTGGCGATGATAATGGTATTATAGTCAGGTGAGAACGACACGAGTATACCTTGAACACGGCGTCGGCCGGGCTCGAGGCGGACTTGTCGGACATTGCGCAAGCGACGATCTCGATCTTCTTGGCCTGGCGCTCGGCCGCCACGGACACGTGCTCGTCGATCTCGGCCATGAGGCAGGACTGGGCCTTGTTGCCGCGACACTCGGTCGGGCCGTGCTGGCAGGTGAACTCGGTCTTGCCGCTGTCGGCGGTGATCCAGGACGCCTTGCCGAATGGCGTGAGGTTGACGATTATGTGGTCCTTGAACTCGTTGTAGTTCGGGCCCAGCTGCTGGGTGATGAAGGCCACGCTGTCCGGGCACTGGGACTCGTAGTACACGTCCAGAGTGACGTCGTGCTGAAACATTTTAAACGATCGGCATTAATTTCAGGTTTATAGTCTAGCGACGCACACACATTTAATTGTAAGTAGTTAAATCGTGTCGACGATCGCGAGGAAAATAAAATAAGGAAAGAAAAGATTATTGTATTATAGACTTACGTGGGCCGAAGCGAACAGTGCCAATGAGGCGATGGTCAGGAGACCGGCGAAAACGGAGAAGCGGCTCATGTTGAGTCTGTCGTGTGCGATGCTACGTCGATTCTACAGAAATGATCGTCGATCGAATGCGCGCCTCGGCCTCGCGTACACTTATTATATATACCTACTTCTGCTGGCTGCACGAGTCGGCGTCGCCTACTCTCCTGTTGATGTATTGTATTATGTGTGTTACGCTGTTACGCGAGTGGGGATCGACGACTGCGCGACTCGACTCGCCTGCGGAGCACAGTGATTTTTACAACACACACACACACACGCACACACGAGTCTTTTGTCAAGGGTCGAATATAATTTTTAATTTCTCTTTTTCTTTTTTGTCTCCGTCGTGCTCAAGCTGCGACTTTGAGGGGCCAGATGCGTACGACGACGACGACTTCTTTGTGTGCTCGCCCGCCGATTCAGGTCGTAATAACAGCAAAAAAAAAAAACGAAACGAGTTTCGCTTATAAATCGGTCCCAGAGCGAGGATGCGGCCCGTACGCTCGCGAGTGTCGTAATACTCCCCGAGCACTCGAAATAACGATAATACAGGATTTTTCTTTGTGTTTATTATGACAAATTCGGGATTTCGTTGCCTATAAGTCTCGGACCGGCTGCTACCTATATACTACCTTTCACTGATTTTGAATATATTACGAGTTTCAGAATTGTCTTCAGCTGTGCCTCGTTCATATATATATATACATGTGTGTTGCTGTACATAATAATGAAAAGGTAAACACACGACACGTCGCGCTTATCAGTCGCGACTGTCAGGCGTTAAAAAAAAAAGAAAAAGATTAAATTAACAAGATCGATTGTAATCCTCGCTGGCGAAATTGATAATCGATGCGCCTCGAGTCGCGCGCCGATCGACTCGATGCCGAGATCGGCGTAACTTTTTTTTTGTACCTTTATACATGAAATATTACGTTGATGTTCGGGTTCGCGCGAGGTATGACATCGTGTTCGATGATGTAAAAATGTATACAAAGCACGCGCACGAACTTGACGTTTCATAAAGTACGATTCGCACGTGAATCTTAAAAAATCGGTCGGTCGACTTTTTTTCGCTCGTCAATTCATTGTTTTTATTTCAAATAATATATGTGAATATGGACCTCAAGGTTGCTCCCGGTCTGTATATAAGTTACATTGTCGCGAGGGGGAGAAAAGGTAAAAACCCGTTTTTATTATGACATCGCGTCACCGCGCCTGTATCATCATAATCATCACAATAACGCATAAAATAGGAGCAGCAGCAGCCGCGTGTGTTATACGGAACACGGAAAACAACAAAGACCCGAGCGAATTTCGCAACTCTACACACACATAACGAAATAGAAAAGCGTCAGTATAGTCGTTGTTGTTTTTTTTTCGACGTATTATAGGAAATCAGGCCACATTTCTCGCGGTAGACTTGCGTTACTACAATAGAGATGGTCTCGAATAATGTATTAAATATCTTATCGTTTTGCCGAGCGCAGAAATTTTTCGACCCCGTGAGGAGAGATGTATGCAAAATTCGTTGGAATAATAGAGAAACGATATATGTGCGCGCGTATCAAGGAGATAGCGGAGAAAGTAGGTGAATCTAGCGGCTTAGCCAGAGCGGAGGCAGAAAACGATGAGTCGCTCATTTCCAATGAGTTATTTTCTTGTTATTGTCTCGGGAAACGATGGTGAACAAAAAAAAGATACATTTCGTACGTAAGTAAAGATGCGTGTATTTTACAATATATAATAATAAAGAGACAACATAATGACATTATACATGTATGATACAAATGTACAAAAACGGGAGCAGAGTGAAGCATCTCGTTTACTATATATTACGGGTCGATGCCCTGACCGAACGATATGGTCGGCTGATTCTCCTTGATCTGCTTCTCGAGCTCCCGTCCCCGGGCTTTGAACGTCTCGGCGAGCTTGTCGCTCTTCTGCGCGCCCTCGCCTCGCTCGTGCATCTTGGCGATGTTGAAGCAGGCGTAAGGCGAGCCCAACTCGCAGGCTTTGAGCGACACCTTGTAACCCTCCACGAGGTCGCGTTTGACGCAGCCCTCGATGCCCTTGAGATAGACGCCCGAGAGGAAGAAGCAGCCCTTCTGGTCCTTGTGCTCGTTGCAGGCCTTCTGGAGCATGGCGACGCCGGCGCGCACCGCGGCGGCCTTGTCGGCCTTGTGGATCTCCTTGGAGACGAGGGCCACGATGCCGGCGTTGGTGCAGCCTATCGAGTCGCCGAGCTCGCAGCCCTGCTTGAGGTAGTCGTAGCCGCGCTGCACGTTCTTCTCGCAGCCCCTACCTATACATAAACACACGCGAGAAGTTGATCATTAAGAGTCGCGAGTATAGAGAGATAAAGGTAGATGGCGACTTTACCGACCCACGAGTTTCCAGCCTCCGATTTTGGCGCAGCTACGGCCGTACTGCATGTTGTCGCAGTTCTTCTGGTAGATGTCGGCCGCCGTGGCGGGGTCGGCCTTGACTGCCTCGTGATAGTCGCCCAGCAGATGACACACTGCGTAAATTAACGATCAAGAAAATAATAATAACGCAACGTTGGAAGGTTATGCGGTTGGCGAGACGAGTTTACCTTCGGGATTCTTCTCGCCGTAGCATCCGTAGGTGTACTCGGTGAGGAGGTTCTTGAGGTAGAGCTTGACGTCCTCCTCGCTCTTGAGGTCGTAACCGGCCATGACGAGTCACTTATAATTGGAACAATTGCACTCGAAACGACACTGGTAAACGCGATTGTTTGTTGCACGCTGCGGCTGCTATTGCGGAACGTTGCGCGCGGCCTAGCAGACGACTCGACGCTGCGGCGAGCAGAAGCCAGAAAGCTTGTAAGTCATAATGGTATAGCTGGAGCTTGGACGGCATGGCGCGAGATGGCGTTAGCAGGTGGTTCGAGTCGCGCCGCTGGTTGTCCGTCAGACTCCTCAAAACACAACAAACATTTCGCGCTCCGCGCTCGCGGTGTTCGCAGTATCGTGCCGCAAAGTGGCTGGACGCGAGCAAGCTGCAGCGCCGGTGTGCACGAGTTCGCGCCCCCCCCCCCCCCCCCNCCCCCCCCCCCCCCCCCCCATGGCGTTCGCTATCGTCGTTATTATCGTTCTCGCGGAGTTTGGAACCGGTGACGACGTTCCCGCGTCCAACCGGCAACGCAACAAAAGACTCATCGGTGAGAACCAATACAAAGCAGTCGGATCATCGAGCTTCGCCGCCGTTTGACGGCTGCGATCGGAATCTTCTTCATCGGGCAGCGAAACCCAATCGCCGTCGAAGGTGAGTCGAGTCTCGCGATTCGTGCACACGTGGCTGACGATATACCTTCAACGCGTTTATGTGTTTATTAAAAGCGACGACGACGACGACGACGCACTACACGAAACGACGGAAAAACAGCTTTGACGAAGCGCAAGGTCGGCGCTAGCTTCTGCTGTCGTATACCTATAGCTGCTACCTATATAACGCGATATCGATAATAGGAGCTCGCGCTCGCGTTCAGGGCCAGCTCCGCGTGTACCGTGCAGAGTGAGATAGATAGCTGCTGTCATATACGTCACATGTGTCGCGCGCGATGTGTGCGTTCGTCCAATGTCCACCACCCCAACTCGATGTATAATAATAAATACGTGTGTATTTACGAATGCCGCAGGAAAGGCGCGCGTTAAAGTACTACGACCGGCGCAGCACTGGGGCTGGTTTTTGCAGCGACGACTCGAACGTGTGTTGTCCGCGGTGGAGGAGGACTATAAGTCGGCGAATCGGCAAAGAGTTCGAAAGTCGAGTAGTGAGTACATAGTGGGCCGAGCGCGCGCTCGGCTCGGTTGACGTTTCGCGGCTTGCCTCTGATATATCTATCACAAAAAGTAACAAAAAAAAAAATAGTTGAGTGCCGGCCTCGCGCCGTCGGTGCAAGTGCCGCTGGTGTCGGATTCCCTCGATGCCAAGAATCAGTTCGTGCTCAATACAGGCCGAGTGGTGCCTGTTTATTTATAGTTCGATCGCTCGCGCAACTTTCCCAGGATCGCGTGTCTGTGTCTATGTGTATAAATGTGTTCGCTCGCTCGCGGCGACCCTTTTAAACTTATCCCGATTTGATCCACGAAAATTCAAGGCCAGCAGCAGCTCTATCATCGATAATCCTCAAGAACTCACGTACTCCCTCGAACGCGTATAATAATCATAATAAGGTAAACGGCAATAAAATAAATACGAGCTCGCGCACTTGTAAGTAATTGATTTGTACGAACGCGTGAATTCTGACAGCTCTGTCTCTCGAGGCGGGGAGGACACGTGTCGACGGTCTCGAATTGTCGATTCTTTATTTTTTTCGAGAATTGCACGTAAGATCGCTAGCTATATTTTTAGACTTTCCGGAAAAAAATCTTACGAATTAAACCTAGTCGCTTTTTATTCTTTTGTACGCGTTCTCTTATATCGTTGGGAGAATTGATATATACATCGATCGATCGAGTATAATTTGATATCCATGTTTCATCGTCTGTTGCAGATGAGTGAATCCGTCAAAGTGGCCGTAAGATGCCGGCCTATGAATCACAGAGAGCTCCAGCACAAGTGTCGGGTACGTATAGTAAACATAATAAACACTTCTGATCGAACCCCCTATGCAGCATCCCACTTACAGAAATGCAAAAGTCGTCGTCATTTTTCAAAACTCTCGCTAAACGAAAAGCTATTAAACACATAATAGAAAAGATCGATATTGTCCTTGAATTTCAGCTGGCGCGATTTCTTTGTCATTCCGATCAATCGGCGAATAATCATAATGTAAAGACCCCACCGCAAGTCCGTGTGTACGTACGTATGTGTATGTGTGTCGTCCACGAAAAGCTCTTACTACGAATCCGTTTTTCCACGAGCGCGATGACTTTAACGCTCGTTATTAAAAAAAAAGATCGATTGATTCGTTTGCTTTTTTTAACTGTCACCGCATATAGGGGGAGAAAGGTAAGGTCGAGACACTTTGTTTGCCGCGTGGAAAATTTCGAAATCTCGCAAGCTCCGCGGGAATTGAATCGATACGAACGTTGAACCGCGTGGCGAGCTTTTATCGGCGATCCTCGTTGGCGCCCGCGAAAACGTAGACCCTAAAAAAAACATTTCGCGCGCTTATGACGCAAGACGATATACAGGTATACCACCGCATATATCACGACATAAATATATGCATGCTATAATAATTATACGTGTAAAGCACGACGACGACGCCTTGCGACGGTCGTGACGATGTTTTACACGCGCGAATGAAATGTCTATTAATTCTCGCGCCGTTCGGGGTAGGTACATATAGTATGAGTAGTGGAGAGGTTCGCACGACATATCCTGCCCACCCCCCCGTTGTGCCTTGCGCGTTTATAAATACGGGGCAATTTTCTACGGTACACACGAATCCGGAGATCTCTTATCTCTCCGATGTCTCTCGTTGCGCGCGTGCTCCGTACTACTGCATGTATATATTGCGCGAGATATCGATTCCCAACGGTACGTGACATGCACACACACACACGCCCGCAAAGTGATTATCTATAATGCTCCGAGTCTGTTTTCTATATCCCACTACCCGCACACGCATACACACCCACGAGTGCTGTGTGTCGCGCTGAAAACACGTGTCGCGCGTTATAAACATAGAAAAAAAACAACAGAGAGAAGAAAAACTCCGAGTTCCGGCATATTACTCGGGGCTAAATGGACGCCCGCAAGCTTTGCCGCTCTCTCTCTTACCTATAGTATACACTATGGCCTATTGGCAGGTAGGCATGTGTGTATATGTGTACCCAAAGTAGCCTAGCGACGGGCTCGACTTTGCAAAACACACATCGGTGTACGCTCGACGATTAATACGCGCGTATGTGTGTATGTATCGGGTACTTATAGGCTCTCTCTCTATGCGTTTATTGCGTTACTTCGCTGGCTATATTTACGCAGCTGCTGCCGCGACTCGCACATGTGTGATGCACGAGTACACACAGTCGCGGGATAAGACAGAGCTTCGCGTCGTCGTGTATGCGTGCGTACACGGCGATCGGCAAGAGTCGAGTCGAGAATATCTATCGTATCGACGCGATGTTGCCGCGCGGCGCTGATATAGCATCTAGCGACATCTCAAAAAGTATAAAACGATCGAATATCAATTTTGCTCGATGCACGTCTTATGTTTATGTACGTTTGCGCCGATCGATCGGTAAACGCCAAGATTTCTCGGTAACGTCGTGCGTCGACTGCACGTGGAGCCGCACGGTCGCCCACAAATTCACCTCCGTATTCCTCGAGCCCACCGTGTGCAAATATACACGTCGATTGCACGAATTACTTTTACGAAGCGTGGCGCAGAGTAGCTAAGGTGTGCAATTACTCGGGCCAGCCGCGCGGGAGTAGGTCGAGCCCATCCATCGGCATGCGAGCCGCCGCTTCTAAATATCGATTCCCCCGTATTATATACGTGGCACCGGTACACGCGCGTACAGCAGCAGCAGCAGCAGCTATTATTCAGAGCTTTCGTGCCGAACTCGAGTCGCTATACCGTCCGCCGGCCAATCACCCGCTGCCTCCACCGAGCGAGCCCTTTTATGCACGAGCACCATCATTTGCATGTAGCAGCGCGTCCCATGCAGTAGTGCAATTTGCACACTGACTCGGTTCCGCCGCCGCCGACTCACCTGTAGCTATTGCCGCGCGCGATCCGCCATAGAGATAATTTAGCGGCTCCTGAAACTGGGTCACACGCACACACACACCAACCTATTACGTTGTACCTCGTGGTGTTATTTCATACCTTATATATACGTAATAGAGCGTCGTGACGGTCGACGGGACGAGCCGCAGCTGCAGCCTCGCCGAAGTTGGCACCGGGGGTGGCAATGGCAAAGTCTACCAGTTCGACGCGGCCTTCGGGCCCGAGATCGCGACCGAGACCGTCTACGAGGAGCTGGGCTCGTACGTGGTCGAGGCCGTGCTCGAGGGCTACAACGGCACCGTGTTCGCCTACGGCCAGACGGGCTGCGGCAAGTCCCACACGATGCGCGGCTTCATCGAGCGAGCACTCGAGCACCTGTTCGAGGCCACCTCGACGGCGAGCTCGGACACGCGCTACCTGGCCCTGCTCACCTACCTCGAGATCTACAACGAGAAGCTGCGTGATCTGCTGCAGCCCGGCGCCGCCGAGCAGACCGAGAATCTGCTCCACCTCAAGGAGGACCCGGTGAGGGGCACCTACGTCGCCGGCGGACTGAGGGAGGTCACCGTCAAGGACGCCCGCGAGTGCGCCCGACTCGTGGAGCAGGGCGATCGTAGGCGAGCCGCCGCCGCCACCAAGATGAACGCCGCCAGCTCGAGGAGTCACGCGGTGCTCACCATCTCGCTCGAGGCCATCGCCATCGGGCCCGAGATGGCCGACGCCTCCTCGGCCGTGAGGCGGGGACGACTGCACCTGGTCGATCTGGCCGGCAGCGAGAGACAGGGCCGCACCGGTGCCACGGGCGATCGACTCAAGGAAGCGGCCAGCATCAATTTGAGCCTGTCGGCCCTGGGCAACGTCATAAGCGCCCTGGCGGCTGGCAACGGACGACACGTGCCCTACCGGGACTCGAAGCTGACGAGGCTGCTGCGCGACAGTTTGGGTGGCAACGCGCGCACCCTCATGATCGCCTGCGTCTCGCCGAGCGACGCCGACGCCGAGGAGACCCTGAGCACCCTGAGGTACGCCGCTCGGGCGCGCTGCATCAAGAACAAGCCCATCGTCAACGAGGACCCCAAGGACGCCCTCCTCAGGCAGTACCAGCTCGAGCTGCAGAGGCTGAGGAAGCTCCTGGAGTCGAGCAACAGTGAGACCGGCATCGGTGCCGTCAACGCCGATGAACAGCAGCAGCAGCGGACGACGATAGCGACGCCGAACGCCGTCGCCTCGTCCGATTCCAGAAGCAACGACAGGAGAGCCTCGCTGCAGACCCTCAAGAACGAGGCCGGCGATCCAGTGAGCGAAGGTGAGCGCGAGTATAAACATTAGTATCCAAAATCGACCATATTTAATTGATTCAAACGATAACGCAGTGCTGGTGCTGGACTCGCCGCCGAACAACGCGGCGGACCCGGACGAGCGCGAGGAGCGTAGGCGCAGGAAGCGCGAGGCCGCCAAGCAGGAGGTGCTGCGCCGACTGGAGCGCCTGACGATCGGCGGCGAGGCTTTGGGTGACGTGGAGATCCGTCGGCGCAGGGAGCGCAGGCGCAGACGGCTCCAGGCCCTGGCCGAGGCTCTCGAGACGAGCAGCAAGGAGGGCAGCGGCGCGGCCGCCTTCGAGGTCTACGGACAGCTCAAGTCCACCGAGGACGCGCTGAAACGCATGGCCAAGCGGGCCAAGCAGCTCGAGGCCGAGGCCGCCGATCTGCAGGTAAAACATAACTCCGATACAATGGTCGACTATGATTAATAATCACTTGGATTACTCGCGCAGGCCTCCTGGGACGAGGAGCGTCGGGAGCTGCTGCGACGCGAGCTACTGGCCCAGCAGATCTGCGACGCGATGATTCCGCATCTGCGACCGGGCTGTCCGCTGCGCGACGTGGCGGCGATCAGGGCCGCGGCCTCCTGGTGCACCGAACTCGGCCGCTGGCGACTGCCCGACGTCTCCTCGAGCTCGTCGCGCATACCGCTGCCGCCGGCCTCGCTGCAGAGCCCACCGCCCGGCGAGCTCAGATCGGACCTCAACGGCAACGGCCACGTCAACAGCAACAACGACGATGATCCGGGTCTGGGTCTCGAGGAGGACAACGACGAGCTCGAGGAGAGCAGCGAGTCGCCGGCGCGCAGCCTGTGGCACACCGCGGCCGAGAACATAGCCGATCGCTACTTCAAGAGGCGCAGTCGGCTCGACGAGATCCTCGCCCGAGTCCGAGAGGCCAAGAGTTTCGGTTCGTAACTCGTTCCTCGTCGTCGTTGTTGTATGCGTGTGACGACCTTATGCAATCTCTCTCTCGAGCAGCAGCAGCAGCAGTACGGACACGTATGCTAATTGCGATATCGCGTCGCGCTGTGATAGGCGTGCGACTATCAATTACGCGGCTTGCGCACGTGTCGAAGAATTTGTCGTCTCTTTTTTTTTTGCACAATGGAACCGCGCGAGTAATGTGCTTAGCTTTGGTTTTTCGCTCTTTTTTGTTTCGATTTTCTTCTTCTTTTTCTTCTTCGTCCATAGCACTAAAAGAGCATTGTATTATTTTGAACATTTTTCGATGAGCAGAAAACTCGTCTTGTTAATGAAAACCGCGCGTGAGTCACTTAATTAAGCTCATTACGCGTTAAGCGTATCGAATTATGCATACGTTCATGCCGAGAGACAGAGATGATCGTCCATATAGCTATATGGATATAATCTTTGAACTCTCTAGTGCAACCGATTAAAGATCAAACTTGTGTCGCGTGATTCTGCGCTCCTCTGTTTTATTTTTTGTAACGTATAGTCGCGATAATGAAATCCGCAGTTTATTCGCACAAACGAAATCTTAACGACGCACACACACGCGCTCACTATACGTTATGTATATAATATATCGTCGATCGGATTTTGAGCAATATTTGAGTCACGCGATAGTTCAAGGCGGTTTCGGAGCGGCTTTGCGCGCGCAGAAACTCGAGCGATTGCGAACTCTGTATTATATCTCTCTCTCTCGCTCTTGTATAGCCTTCTGCAATTAAGCCAACTTGTTGCATTTCTTTTCTGCCGAACGAGTATTAGATATGAATATATTTTCCTCGCGCGCGGTTGCATATACGTCGATTTTTCGTCTATCGCAATTTGTGCTTGTCTGCGCTGTACGTGCCGTTTATTTCTGTGTAAGCTGCTGCTGCTTGGAACTTGCGCGAGACGCGATAAAAAATCCAAAGCGAAGATTCATCGTCATTAACGCGACACACGTTTTTTTTCTCTCTCTCTCTTACTTTTTTTTTGTTGTACACAATTCGTTAAAAGTATAAGTGATGTACTTGAACGAGCAGCACACGCGTTATTGTCGAAGATTGATCGCTCGTTTTACGACCAGTAAGAAATTAACACTCGGCGTGCTATGCACACAAACAAACTCGCGCGCGTAAATGAGAAATCTAAGATCGTAGCTCGAAGGTTCGATAGCTCGAGATGCGGGAGAGTCGGAGGAAATAAAAATCCGAGCGAGAAGAAGCGACGGATGATGCGCTTTTTTCTCGACACCGACTCTTCTCCTCTTCTTCTTTTTTTATTTCGATCGTTGAATCCAGCAGAGCGGCGCGCGATATATTTTCCGCGAAAAATTCCACTGGCTCGCGTGTGCGCGTGCATGCACATGTGCGAGCGCGACGAGCAGCGGCAGCGCGTTTGTGTTTTTCTCCATTCTTCGTCCGATTGATATCGCGCGCGACAAAGTTTCGAGCTCGATCATTTCATTGTATACATTTGGACTTTGCAGACGGTGGCGGTCGAGCGAGCAAGTCCGGCTCGTCGTCGGAGGAGACTCAGGCTCAGCTCGTGCCCATCAACGCGCCGAACGCCATGAACGGCGGTGGCAACGGCACCAATGGACTTCAGAAACTCGACTCTCTCTTTCATCTCGGAGCTGGAGGAGGAAGCATCGAGCGGCTACCGAAAAAAGTCGGCGGCTGGATAAGCGAGGATTCGCAGCCACAGCAGCAGCAGCAGCAGCAGCAGCAGCAACAGCTGACCTTCTCGCCCGATAGTCCGCCCTACAAGAGGACCAACGGGCCGCCACCGCCGCTGCAGCAGCCGCATCCACGAGTCCTCGAGGCTCTGCCGTCGTATCCGCAGATATCCATTCCCAAGCTGCAGGGCTGATAGTAACTCTCGTCCTCGCTGATTTCGCGAGGACGAGTCCCACAGAGGATGGCTGTATTTTTTTTTTTTTTGTATATGTACCTGTACAGTATAAATTGCTCAAGACTGATGTACTTAGCTGTTGAACACAACGAAAGATCGGAGCTCTCGAAAGAGACAATGTACATAGACCGAATAAATGAGCGAGATCGTCTCTCGTCATTAGCCGAGCGTGGCTAAAAATAAAAATCTTTGTCATGTAGCGTGATTGATGCGCATGCCTCGAATGAATGAAAAAGTCTCTAATGTAAAAAGCACATGTAAAAAAAAGAGACTCCTCTCTCTCTCTCTCTTGCTCTGTCCGTGCGAACGTTAATTTTCTAAATCTGCACTCGCACGCGGCCAATCCGTGCGTTTATAACACACCGAGATTTTATAATCGATTCGACGGGGGTCTGCCGTTGTCGTGTTATTTTATAATCGTTAATAATCGATCACGCGCAGTGCTCCATACGAGTGTATGCGTGCCTGGAACTGAATGAACGCGGGTGGCTATTATCGAATTGTTTGCCTATATAGAGAAATGGTCGGCTTGAAAAATGACAATCGTATAGAGCAAGTTAATAGCGCTTGCGCAAATACATAAACATAATGCATATATATGCGAGAGAGAGAGGTAGAATGTTTGTTTAATAAATTAGCGAGCAAACGCCGAAAGCACACGCGGCGGCTGTTTGCCGATGCTCGTTGAACGATGCTATATTATCGACTGCTGTGTGTGCAATGCATGTGTGTGTGTGTGTGCGCGCTTCTTCTTTTTGCAGTTTATTGTACATATAACAATGCATATTATTTACGATAAGATTTTGATCGTTTGTGTATTGTAATGCGCGCGCGCGAGATCGATCGTGACAATGAAAAGAATGAGCGAGAGAGATAGGGATCGATCGTGATATATCGCTGAAAAAGTCATCTAATGTACTTGACCGCGCGTGATTGACATCGCGAACAACAACAACAGCGACAAAAACGGACGAGTATGAGAGACAAAAAGAAATGTATGTATACGCAAGTATTGCGAAACGATAATGATCGTTCATCGTCGCTCTCCGCGCGAGCAAAAAACAATCGGCCACGCTCGAATCGTCGGTGGCACACGCAGGAAGTGCACGAAAAGCGCCAGCTTCGGCTTCGCAGAAACGTAATAACGTTTTCGACAACGACAAAAAAAAGGGCAGAGAAGACGAAAATTGCAGGATTCGTTACGTAGCGCTGACTTCTTGTCTCGCTCGGAGTATATAGACGCTTCGTGTATGCATACAGCACATAATCGCGTTATAAAAGCGCGCAAATACTTGTCATGATTCACGCGCGAGAGCTCGGCATTATATAGCTTTTCCAGAAATATCTGCCAGTTCGACGACGACGACGACGACTAAGGCGAGCGGCGATAATATGTAGAACACGACTGCTACTCGAGGCGGCGCGCGCGGCAAAAAGATCGAGGAAATAATGCACAAGTTACGATCGTGAGTACGTATGTGTGTGGAGTACGCGTGCCGAGCGAGAGATTTTCCTGCGGTATATATCACCTGCGTGCGGTGCGGTGCGGTGTGTGTACCATTACCATAATGATGTACGTATATTATCGATTATATTCGAGTAGGCGACCGCTACTCCAGTCGATAGTACACACACACAATTGTACATAATGCATATGTGACCAAACGAACCTCTGTGTGTGCTGCGTGTCAGCGTACATGTCATGCACGAGAGGTAGTATGTATCGATCTGTTATATACCTTTAAAATCCAGTTTTAAAAATTGCCCGTTACTTTTATGGAAAATATTTTATTGCCTCTGCGACGCGAGCCTGTGTATTATATTATTATATTATGTTACGTATCGCACGTGTACGAGTGTACGATATACGTACACGGAGGAGCCCCCCGACATGTTGGAAAGAAAGTATATGAAATAAAATATTGTTTTGCAAGCAAAAAAAAAAAGCGAAAAGTGGCCGATTTTCCGCGATTACGCTCGCTGCTGGTCGTCGAAATTTTAACGGCGCACTGCACGTACACATATAAAAGTCCAGTATAGTAGCCTTTTCGCAGCAGCGGAGTATAAGCTATAGCAGTAACAGCAGCACAGAGAAAGTCTCTCCTTACACACTCGCGCGAGAGCGCAATTGACGGCGCGATGATGATGATGGTGATGGCTATATAGCGTCGTTGCGCTGCTGCCTTTATATACACATGCACTATAGCTACTCTCGATTTCTCTTTGCTATATAATGTACAACTGCGCGTTGTGTGCATGTGTGCGCGTTTAGGAACTTTTACCTCGCGCAGCGCCGATGCATGCGCGCGGTACACGCGGGGCTTTCGCGCGACATTCGCTCGCTATAATATCCTTTCTCGAGGAAACGTACACACGATCGCCGCCGCCGTCCCTCTTATATATTATACACACACTTGTAAACCTCGAGCTCTGCTGCTGCTGCACATCTCGTGCTGCAGATCCACGCTCGCGCACCGTTATGTATCCTACCTTACCTTTTTACAAACTCGACGAGACGAGTTTTCGAAACTCTGCATTTGCTGAGAAGAAATTAATGGAAATTTTGGACGCGACCTCGTACTTGTGCAGCTTCGCGATCGCCTTCGCTGGTCACTGCGCGCACAACCGATTCGCTGCCGATTTTCCTCGGGCCGAGGAAAGAGACCGATGACCCCGATCCTATATACCGAAACGAGCAGCAGCTGCGCCACCACCACCACCACCGTCACTCGTCACCGTCATCACCGATGCGTGTATTAGTCCTTTTCGAGTCAACAGCTCCATTCTTTGTTTTTTTTCTTTTTTTTTGTTTTATTTCTCTCTTTTTTTTCGGTGTGTTTCAGGCTCGACCGACTAGTTGCGGAATGTTTGTATAAATCACGAGATATATCAAGGCCAAGCGCATACATATATACACACGGCGCGCGGGATTGTTTTGATTTGAGAAATTCGAAAGGCTGAGCCGATTTCTTGTGTATGTGTGTATATAGCCTGAACGAGTAAGTATATATAAGGCGTCCGATCGCGAATGCGAGAATACGAGCTGCACGCGAGGCTCTATACATACATGTATATACGAGGAAGTTACGACGAAATGGTCGTCATTTTTTTGACGGATAGAGATGTATTTGATTAGCATCGCGCCGTGTTTATGTTGACGATCTTCTCTGTTAAAAAGGCCATGACGCACTCCGTCCAAATTCGGACATCGGCAGCGATGTAGCCCGAGTGCATTACTACTTACTACCGGTTTCAAGGCGCCTCGAACAAAATATATATTCATAATCCTTGTTTTGAGACCTTGATTCTCTCTCTGCATCTCTTTTACAACTGGTCGTCGCTCGACAACTACGAAAACAATAATATAAACTACTCGCGTCGCGCGTCGCGGCGAAGACGAAGATGAAGGAAATGCAGTGGATGCCACCGAGCGGTAGTATATCCTGCTCCGACACAGGTAATGTACATATAAAGCAATTACCGCGAGCGAATCGTTTTCAATGGCATGTTTACGCCGAGCAACGTCGTATAGCGATATAATTTCGCGCCGGATAAGAAATGCCTGGGGGAACGCAATTGGGCGAATCTAATCGAAACAGCTCGCATAGTCGAGCGCGCACGAATATAATGTATACTGAAATAATAATAAAACGGTTAAAAAGCGAGCGGTACACTTGCTATGTGTGCGTATATATAATGCCAGTTTTGCAGCCGCAGGAGAGCAAAGCAAAGCAGCGCAGCTTTGGCATGAGCGCGGAGCAACACTTATATACACCAGCAACAGCAGCAACAGCGCAATTTGCTCGAGACTCTCTTTCTCGCTCTTTCTATCTATCCATCTCTCTCTTTCTCTCGCTCAGCAGTCAGTTCTGCAGCAGCAGCAGCAGTCTGCAACGCGCACGGAGAGCGAAAAATTCTGCAGTTGCGGAGCAGTCGGCGAGCGACCGCCGTACCGTTGCGTACGCTGCGTCCGCGCAAACTCCCTCGGACTTTCGATATCAGCTGCTGCAGTGTGTGATTCTCTCTCCTCGCTGGATTTGCTGCAGTGTGTCTTTATCCGCGCGCGTGCATGAAAACGCAGTCGGTGCTGCACACACGTATGTACATGCACATGCATCGCACGCACACGCTTGCAGCGAGTTTATAGCTACACAGGCACCCTACATTACATACATCCTCGAGTTGTTCACTTGTGCGCGACGAGCTGCTCCACATTCGCTCCGTGATTTACCAAGTGCGTTTACTATAAACAGTGCAACATGACAGTCGTCGTCGCCTAGATTTGACGCATCGCAGCTCCCTTCCTCCCTCCCCCACACCGTCGCAATCATGTCGTCGGTCTTCTCCAAGCTCATCGACAAGACCTCCAACAGGTATGGCATACGTCAAGAACAGCTGACCCGCGGCGTCGTCGGCACCGTCACGGCCCTCTACCTTCTCAAGGTTGGCTATCCCTACATAGCCGCCAGTGCCAAGGTCTGCCTCAATCAGATCAAGGCCCATCGACGCGATCTGGCCCAGCAGCCCGTGCCAAAGACCTCGCGCCAGAATGGAGCCCAAGCCGAGAGCGCCCAGGCCTCCAAGAAGCCCGTCGGCCTTGACAAGGCCTTCGCCAAGCAGCTCCTCATGCTACTCAAAATCATGATACCCGGATGGAGAACCAGAGAGGCTGCTCTGCTCTCTTGCACCACTTTTGCCTTGCTCACCAGGACCTTCCTCTCTGTCTACGTTGCCACTCTCGAGGGACAGATTGTCAAAAGGATTGTGCTCAAGGATATCAGAGGCTTTCTCTGGATGATGGCCAGGTGGTTCGCCGTAGCTTTTCCAGCCACTTTTGTTAATTCTGCCATTAGATATTTGGAGGGAAGATTGGCCTTGAGCTTCAGGTATATTTTGTTTATGTATCATGTTGTCAGTGTCGTTTATCTGTCTGACTCAGCTAGTCTCCAGGCTTGCTTCACTTTTGTCTCTTACTCACTTTTATTTTTTATCTTTCTTTGTTCAGGGAAAGATTGGTGGAGCATGCGTACAAAATGTATCTTAGCAAGCAAACCTACTACAGAGTTTCTGCATTGGACACCAGACTTGGAGGAGCTGAACAAAGACTGACGGATGATCTATCTGAACTAGCCAGTTCAGTAGCACATTTGTATTCTCATTTGACGAAACCTCTGCTAGATTGTGCACTGGTTGGCATTGCTCTGATTTCATTTTCTTCTCGAATGGGAGCCAGAACCGTACCTGGTAATAATAAATTTTTTATGATAACAAGGAAAAATGCATACTTTTTTATCACATTCGGTCATAATCTTAAATCATGAGCTATTTTGAAATTTTAATCGACTGATTTTGTTATCGTTTGCATTATTGATAAATTGAAATTTTCTGCTTTCTGCATATCATGATAATCAATTTATTAAAGATTTAAGATTTGTGACTTTAATATTTTAAAATCTTCTTATGTTACTCAATTTTACATTTATCAAATTCTTCAAGTCATTTAAATTAATCTCTATTAAAAATTCTCTAGGTCCATTGCTATCAGTAGTTGTTATTGGTCTTACTGGACAAATACTGAGACTTGCTTCACCTAAGTTTGGTCAACTTGTTGCTGAAGAAGCGTCTAGGAAAGGTAGATTAAGGGAAGCCCATGCTCGAATAAGTGCACATGCTGAGGAAATAGCTTTCTATGGAGGACATAAAGCAGAACATAGATACCTTACAACAGCCTATAAATCACTTACTGTGCACTTGAGAAGAATCCTTGCTTTGAAATTAGGATATGTTATGTTAGAACAATTTTTAATGAAATATGTCTGGTCCGGAACTGGACTCTTGGTTATTGCTTTGCCACTGCTGTACAATTCAAATAATGCACTTAAATCTGCTCAAGATCAAGATAGAGATGGTACATTTTTACAATCAAAGTAACTATATTACTGCACTAGAAACTAGAAATTGTTATCATTTATTTTTGTAGGAGGAGTTAGCGAGCGCACGCGATATTTAACTACTTCGAAGAATCTATTGAGTTCGGGTGCTGATGCGGTCGAAAGACTCATGTCATCGTACAAGGTAATTTATGCATTCAATTTCAAAGTTTTATTTCCAGAATTATAATGATGCTTGCATGAAATTATTCTCAATATCTCAAGTCGGTAAAGAAGGAAACGCGAGCGCATCAATACTCTGCAGAGAACGAATTTTTTGATTTTTGAAATACACATTTGTTATAAAGTTATGCTGATGATATATTTTTTTATTATAGGAATTAGTAGCCCTAGCCGGTTATTCTGCCAGAGTAAGTGAAATGTTTGCTGTATTCAAAGATGCTGCTGATTGCAAGTATAGAAGAAATGTTGTTACAACTTGTCAAACTCGAACGCCTAACGGTGTCAGTATCGAAGAGCAAAGTGTTGTTGAATTTAAAGATGGAAATCCTATTATTAAAGGTACAGCATCCCCCCATTTGTTAATAGTAATTTTTTATAATTGCAGCTAATCGATGTTTATTACTTTCAGGTACTATTAGAGAAAGCGACGATGGCAGTATTACCTTGATTAACGTACCTATAGTTACACCAAACTGCGAAGTTATTGTATCAAAATTATCTATTGAAGTAAGTTTGCGAATTATAATTATTAGTAAGGAATGATATTAAAACTGGACGTAATTTTTTGCAGATACACCCCGGTGATCATTTGATAATCACAGGTCCAAATGGTTGCGGTAAAAGTTCGATGTTTAGAATTATTTCCGGTTTGTGGCCACTGTATGGAGGCGTAATGCACCGACCTGGAAAATCGTATACAGCCAAAACTGGCAGACCAGCCTTATTCTACATACCTCAAAAGCCTTACATGACCGTGGGATGTTTGCGCGATCAAATAACGTATCCCGCGGAGTGCACTAAAGAGGAGGTGTCGGACGAGGAGTTGATCGAGCTGCTGAGCCTCGTGGATCTGCGCGGACTCGTCGAGAGAGAGTCCGAGGGTCTCGACGCTTACGGCGACTGGGACTCGACTCTGTCCGGCGGCGAGAAGCAGCGGCTGGCGATGACGAGATTATTTTATCACGCGCCTCAGTACGCGCTTCTGGACGAGTGCTCGAGCGCGGTGAGCTTGGAAGCCGAAGGCGCTATGTACGAGACGGCGAAGAAGAAGGGGATTACATTGCTGACGATCACTCATCGCGTGGCCTCTCTGGCCAAGCATCACAAGTTAATTTTAAGATTCGACGGCGAGGGTGGTTGGAATTTCGGGCCTCTGGACGCGAGCAACATACCGGTGACGCAAAACAATAACGAAGAAAAGAAGACAAACGAAGTGAAGAATTATCAACGAATACAGGTTCGTACTTGATGAATCATCGGTCAAAACATTTATTCGTTATCCGTGCTAATTATTGTCTCGTTGAATTGCAGCAGGAAAATCGTAAGGTCGAAGACGCTCACATTAGCGTAAGCTGAGGGTCCTACGAGGCAACAGAACAAGTCTTACACAAATTAGCACGTTTACTCGTTCGTTTTATGGAAATGTATATAAGTACTTTTTCAACGTAGAATTAATATTATAGATTCACATTGTACAAAATATATAAAATTATATCGATGTATTTTTTTACTTATAAAAACGCGAGAGAGGTCAATTACGACACGAGTTTTAAAAAAAAGCAAAGGCGACGTTTTCCGGCGACGCCGTAACGATTTACTCTTTAATCATGAATTATTGAATAATGAATATAAAATCTTGAGAGATTCAAATAAATAAATAAATAAAAATTGTTTTAATAGGGACTGTTAACGAGCGTGTAGGTATTACGACAAATACTCCGTGTAGATAGGCACCAAACGATATTGGCTGGGACGAACAATATACGTTTTTTTAATCATGCAATCGACAAATAAATGCATCAGCTATTATCATCATTATTATCCTCTGCGAATTAATTAAATTTTACGATGGAAATTTTATTACGAGAAATAATTATTAATTTATTATCAATGCACATTTTAAATGAGAGATAAAAAAAAAATAATAAAATAAAAAAAAATTTGTTAAAGGCAAACAAACGAAACTGCAGGATTTTCATTTCTCCCGAATCACACGATCACGTCGTCGCGTTGCAACGATATATCGAATATCCATATCGGGCCACGGCGAATTAGGATGAAACAATGGAGAGCCGCCGCGTCGCAAGCTCCGTATACCTATGTATGTATGTACAAAAGCTGCGGCCGCCGCCACGTAGAAAGAGAGAGAGAGATATGGGCGGTACCGCAATTGTGGGCGAGGACCATCAACGCGCTTAAAAGCAGCAGCAGCAGCAGGGAAGAAGGGTGCAGAGTAGGTATATATATACGCGTGCCGCAATCTCACCGCTGCTGCGACCACCGCCACCGCACGTGGCACTACTATCTGATAATGTATACATCTTCATCTTCTCTCTGTCTCATCGTCGCTCTGTGTCGGTTCCCGTGCGCGCGCGAGCATATGTTATTACATGTCCGATGTGTTATATACTTTATAATATATATTTACGAGATCGCTCGCTGTGAAACTCGATACGGGCCGGCTACTGTATATTAACGTCTCGCCGAGAGTAAATGAAAGAAAGAGAGCAAGTTAGGTATATTATTTACTGAAAAGTGCGATATAATCGTTTTTTCTATACTATTCGTAACGCGTCTCAGCGCAGCACATCAAACAGATGTCGTCGCGGCGTTTAGCGCGCAAGACAATAATATTGACGTTAATTTGCCTATACAGGGCGAAAATAGCAGCGGTAAAGCTCTCCACGCTATATACGCGGGGCACGCGTCTCTCTCTCGCTCGGACAAGTCGTTGATTTAGTCGAAAAACAAATAAATGTTTTTACAGCCGCGCCGACAAATGAACTCTGCTCCTCGGAGTTCATTAGTTTGAAAGACTTGTCGAAACGTCTTATGGTCGAGACCGATACTACGGCACACACGAAGCTCGTCGTAACGTGTACATGTCGTATAATGTAATTCAAGCTGCGCCGCGATGATCGCGCGCGCCGTGTGCTCGTCAAAGTGTACATCCCATGCTCGAGCAGCTGACGAGCGAAAAATCATCGTCGTCGTCGTCAATTGCGGCTGTAACGCGCGCGAATTGCGAGTCGAAAGTGGACTACTACGTAATATAAAAAATAGGTGTCTATGACGGGGCGCGGGGCCGAGAGCTTGCAATCGTATTTCTGCCAGCTAACCAACAGCATCTCTTTCGCAAGTCGAGGGTAAAAATTTAATTATCGACGTTTCTTTGTTTCTGGTCACTTCTCTCTCTAGCCGCCGCCTGTGTAGGTTTATAAGGTATATATATAGTTAACTCTTGGCAAAATAAGCAATAGCTCGTCGTCTCTCTGTACGAACAGCAGCAAGAGGGACGGCTACGACGACGACGATTGAAACGAAAACGTCGCGTTGCTGCGCGTGTTACACGCTACATACATACATACGTACTAGATGTATCGTAGCTCTGTATAACGCGTATACATACTACATAGTCGCGTCGGCAGAGAGCAGAGAGAGAGAACAGTGTGTTGTGCGCTGCAGCGGGGAGGGAAGACCCGCAACTTCCGATGAGCTTACCTCTCTCTCTCTCTCTCTCTCTCTTTTCACTCGGGCCAGTGCTGCGGAAACCCTGCAAGCGCCAAAAACGTCGATACTCGCGCAAGCTAGCTCGAGCTGCTCGAGCGGCTCTCGACGTCGAGAAGTTAGAGCTCCCGAACAACGCCAGAGAGCGAGAGACAAGTATATACAGCAACTCTCTCTCTATGAACAGAATAGTGTATGCCTATATGACTCGCCTTCGACCGACGATACATGCGATAGCAGCCGCGGCGCACCAGATAGCAACAGCAAAGAGAGAGAGGATGGATGGATAATAATAATCCCTTTATATACACGTAGAAGGGTATTTAATGCACTTCTTCATCTTTTGTATATTCGAAAAATAGCCGATTGAATTACTAGCCCGATTGCGTTGCGTTGCGCCGCAGAGAGCAAAAAAAAAAAGAGCGAGAGAGTCGCGTGCCAGGATGATCCTCGCCACTACCGATGCTGCTACTCCACCCGGGCTCTTAATGAAATTGCGCGCGCCTTACGTTATACAGCCCTGTCAACATCTCCCCAGGGCCAATCAATCAGCGGCTCGAGTGCGCCCAACCCCCGTACGCGTAATTGCCAAGCGCGTACACACGAGTCTCTCTTGCGTTGCGCTCGATTTGCGATAATATGATAATTGTTGCGGCTGCTGCTGCCGAGATGACGATGATGATGATATTCAGGTGTGAGCAAACACAGGTGTGCGCTGCAACAGAGCGCCACTACTACCCGTTAAACTACCCTAGCTAGCTGTGTGTGTTTGCCTTTGAGATAAGCGCGAGACCCGCAACGGATTCCGCTTTAGCGGCTCGCTCGAGCGAATCATTGCCTCGACGTTGTCGGCCAATTTTTCTCGCCCCAAAACATCTTTCTCCTACTTTGCGTCTCTCTCTCTCGTTTGTGCGCGCGGTGGTGCATCGTCACATCGACACTTTATAACCCGTGTGAAAGGAAGCTGTATAAACGATCAACGCTGCATTCTCCGTCCGACGACGACATTCTTCCGTCAGATTGACAAAATATCCATTCTCTCTCTCGCTCTTTTGGGAATGCAACGTTAAAGAAGATGCGCTGCTAGACGAGAATGCACCGGAGCAAATGTAATCGACCCGACTGCACTCGCTCGACGTTGCTATACATTAATATACTTAACTTCAAATTGAATTACATTCGTGGTGGTTATACGTATACACTTGCGAGCTCATGCACCAGTGAAAACTCGATGAAATCGACTTTTCTCGATCTTTTTTGCGCTTTTCCTTTATCATATTTTAACTATATCCATGGTACCATTTTGACTCATCCATCTTTGCTTATTTTGTTAATACTTGAAATTCTATATGATTCAGAACAAAAATTTAAATATTTTTGAATGACGAGTATGAATAATATACGAGCGATAGTTAATATCAATTACCTCGTCCGTTAAATATCTTGGCTCGGGCGATCGATCGTTACGAATTTCGAGATACACGTAGAGCTTATATACGCACGAGTCGACTAGTCTTGTGGAAAAGTCGCTTATTTATATAATCGTCGTATAAGCCGGGCGTTTGGCTTATAAAACAGCTCTAAAAGAGTATAACAAGAAAAAGAAGAAGAAGACGACGAGTAGTACGCACGGAAAAAGACTCGCACACGTTACGTATCGGGTGGTAGCGCGTAAACATCATCACTCGAGCTTAATAACTTAAAATACATCCTCGCGGCTGCTGCTGCTGCTCTTAATCCCGCGAGATACAGTTTTTGAATAATCGCGAGCTTTATAATACATAACGAGGGCGAATGCAGTTGCAATATACGAATATATTAGTCGACTTGTAACGGCGGGATAGTACGGTAGGTGTATACGCAGGATCGGTTCCGAGGATCGGGTAACGCAGGTGACTCTTTTTTTCGCCGCTCGCTCCTGTTCCGGTGTGAGAGCAAACGAGAGAGAGAGAGAGAGAGAGAGAGAAAGCGCGAAAGAACGACGGAAGAGGAAGCGAGCTCGGTTCGGTTAGGCCAAAAAGTCGGCTGCGGATCGGACTCGAGCTGTGTCGAGGGGGATGGGGGTATATGTATGCGTGCTGGACGGCGGGGAAGATACACATGCATAGGTGGATAGAGAGGTGTATACATGTGTACGCAATACATGTATGCTCTCTCACTCTAGGCTAACGCAGAGGGCATCGGGTTGCCTCGAGCGATATTGGCTTACACACGGACGAGCGAGAGAAAGAGCGCTGCTGAGTCTGGCTCGAGTTAGTTCGAGTCCATTGGTCACGGGGCATTCGGCGAACATTAACCCGGGAAAATCGGATCGCTTCTCTCTCGCATTGGCCTGAAAAATCGGCAGTTCGAGCCAGTGACTTGGGAGCTAGCAACACAACAGCAGTTCGGACTCTGGCCCGCCGGGGACCACCGGGCTCGGGTGGTAACGCTATATCCTATACACTCGGCCGATCGCCCAAGCCAATATACTTTCACGCATATCGTCATCCCTTGTTGCGCGCTGACTGACTGGCTGGCTGGCTGGGCCGATGATCGCGCGCGCGAGTGGACGCGTGCGACCACGTGTGCTCCGTGCTGTATACAAGAGCAGAGATCGCGAACCAGCGACTACACGAGCGAGCAAAAAAAAGAGAGAGAGAGAGAGAGAAGAAGAAGAAGAAGTTGGCAGGGAGAGTAGCGTAGTATAGTGCCAAAGTAGCGGTGGTGGTGGTGGTGGGGTGTACGAGGCAACGCGCCGCGCCACGACTCGCGGACGATAACGTCGACGTGCGACGAGCTATAGTCTACCAAAGACCAACTGTCTCTGAACTGTGGCGCTGAAAAGGGATGAGCAGCTTTCGAGCTCGGACAGTAGTGGCTCGTCGTTCGCCCTCGTCGTCAGCAGCCACGATCGGTCTCGGCGGGCTCTCTGCTTAAGCAGCAGCTCTTGTAAAGTACCGTAGTGCCGCCGTTGGTTTTCCATCTTCTTCGCGGAGTGCGCGCGTAGTTTCGTGGACGACGAGTGCCGACGAGTGACTGCGCGCGGAAAATTTTTGCTCTCTCCTCCCCCGAGGATCGAGGAGAGTTTTATCGTCCCGCGCGCGTTTTATATATATAAACCGCGAGAGAGAGAGAGCGACTGCACACCCCCGTCGACAATATGTGATACGACCGCGGTGGCGCAGCAGCGGTGGCGGCGCCGAGCACACACACACACCCAACACGCAGAGAGAGCCACAAGAGTGCCAGTGAATAATAATGGCACCGATCATCCCCGACGACACGGATGGTTGCCTCGACAACCGCAGGAACAGGAGCAGGAGGGGCTGGACCAACGCTAAAAAGCTCCCCGCCGCCAACTGAGAACAGAGAGAGAGAGAAAAGCTCGCAAGCGTGTGTGCATGAGAGGATCGCAGGCTCGGGTGGGTGCAGATCGCGCAGCCGCCACCGCCGCGAGCCTCTATATAATAGCGAAATATCGTATACCAGACGAAGCAGCATCAGCAGCATCAGGAGAAACGGGAGGAGGTGGAGGAGGAGTGTAGCGCGCTAGGGAGGATGTTCCTAAGGGAATCCGACGAGCACAGCTTCAACGCCGAAATGGAGTTTCTCCAGAGCCATCATTCGGCCAACAGCTCCGAGTTGCCCTATACGCTCGCCGGTGCCGGTAAGTCAAAGACACACACCACAATCATATATACTAATTTCGTATACTTACCTCTTTTTCTTTTTTTCAACCATTTGCACGTTGAATTACCTTTTCGAGCTGATCCTTGTGCCTTTTTTTTTCGTGTAACGTTATAATATGCGCCACGCGCCGCTTCGACGTTTATATTAATAATCCCCCGCTCGTCTTCGGCGCCTAATTTCGCGCGTATAATTTTTATTCGCATATAATATACATAATTCGAGCTTTAGACGATCCGCATTGGTATTGGACTTACGACTCGTAATAGCCGATGCGCGACGAACGAAATGCGTATATATAATACAATGTAATACGCGCGGCGCGCGACGCGAAATATACCTAATCCCCGAGAGTTTTAAGGGTAACACGATCCGCGCCACCGCTCGGCTATATATACAGTCTTCGTCGTCTCGGACGGCAAAAATGTGCAAAAGGCCATATTATATATACGTTATATACTGAGAGAGAGAGAGCCGCAAAAATGTTGTGCTCTCTTGAAAGCGATCCTCCTCCGCTCGCCCATATGGCTCGCGCGCACACACCTATTCCCGCGTATCTTTGTACGCGATCCGAGATATCCTCTCTTTTCGCAATGATGATCGGCACATGACCGAGTGACGGATGACTGGACTGCAAAAATTAAAAACGCCTCGTGTGCTTTGTTTTTCAAAAATCTTTTTATTTCATTGCCTTCGTTTAGCCAAAAAAAAATGACAAGTACAAAATAAAAAATACAAAAAAAAAAAAAAAAAAATAATTAAAATGTATAACTGGACGTGAGCCGATAGTCGTGTTCAACATCACAAAGTAGTAGTAGTAGTAGTTATTACATATCAATTAATTTTCAACCTTATACAACTAAGTATGAGTCTCAGTGCGTTTAGCGCATCATTTTTTTTTAATTCTTCTTCGTCTTTGATAAGTAAAAATATCAATTAATTATTTGCATTTTTTTCCTTCTCATAATAATTATATATATAATTTTTGTATTATATATTACTTTATATATATAGCGCGTACATGATTTCTCGCAGTAACTTTTGCGCGCGGCCTATGCGCAGAGACATTAATATATAATTTATCGATATAAATAAAGAGAGAAAATATTATGTATAAAAAAGTGCCGAAGCATTACACACACACGCGCGCGTGTTCGAACGAATATCAGACGGATTTTGTACAGATTTTTGCTTGTAGACCAAAAAAAAAAAAACAGAGCTATAAATACAAAATTAATGCGTTACTGGTGTATGGTATAAAGGTTTAATTAAAACGAAAAAAAAAAAACAGATATTGTTTGCATAATTGAAGGCTCGGTGGGAAGCATCGAGGCGAGCATACCGTCGGGTCTGTGCTCGGGCTCGCTCGGCGGCGGAGGTCCCGGAGGAGGAGTCATAGTCAACGGCGGGGCCGGCGCTGGTGGCGGCGACGATGACGATCTCAACAACTGCGCCGATCCCGATCATCATCAGCATCAGCATCAGCAGCATCATCACCAGGGCCTCATTGGTCTGAGGCTGCAGGATCTACAATCTGCCACCGGCGGCTCCGAGGACGATCCGCAACAGCAACAGCATCAGCAGCAGCAGCAGCAGCATAATAACGGCACCACGACGCAGATCACAGCAGCAGCAGCCGCCGCAGCAGCCGGCCAGTTAGTCGGCGAATTCGGCACGAGCTTCTGGGTCGACGACATGGCCGGCTTCCCGCTGCCGTCGCTCGATCTCGACCCGCTGCCGCCCGGACTGTTCAGCCCCTGCTCCGGTACTTACAAGTGAGTTCTCCTCTTCTTCTTCTTGTCTTCTTGTCGTCGGGATAAACATCGAAATATCTTTTGTGTCTCGTGTGAGTGTGTGCGATACAGTGCGAGAGACATTGGCCCACGTGTGTGTATTTATTTATTTATTTATTTATTTATTTATTTTTAATAAGCCTCGCGCACATGGGGCCGCGCGCGCTAGCGACGTGTGTTAATTAGCTCGTCGTCGGGGAAAGGCCTGCGATACGATCATTTTACTCGGTGCTCGAGGACACGCCTCGATGGGACGGCGGCTCTTGCATGATCGGCAACACTCCTCTGTAAAACAAAAACGACACAAAAACAAAACATATTTCTCATTTCTCTTTCAAATAAGGCCAATGCAATTTTCCGTCAAAAGTCCCAAAGAGAGAGAGAGAAAGAGAGAGAGATCGACAAGCAACAACAACAGCCAACAGCAGAAGCAGCGACAGCAGCGGCAAGTTTAAGTTTCAAAAGGAAAAAAGCTACAGAGAGATAGACAACAACACTATGCAACCGGACGAAGGCCGGTGCACTGATCTGCGTAAAAAGTCCATAAGCAGTATATGAAAAAGAGTAAAAAAAAGAAAGTATGTGTTGAGTGTCGTGTGTGTGTGTGTGTGTGAGCGTAAGTGAGCATGCAAGCAGCCATGGGCCCATCGCAGGCCGGACGTCATCCGATACGACGAAATTTTCTTCCAGGCGAAAAATAATCCTTGCCTATATACATACGATAATTGCGAAAACGATGCGGGGCCTCGTGGGCATCGTAACGCGCGCGGCGCGATTCAAAGGACAAAAAATTAGAGAGGCGATAATAACGCGCGCAACGATCCGTATAGCTCGAACGTATTTTCAACAATTTTTCTTGTAACGCACAGTTGGGGCTGCGGCCGAGGCGACTGCATGCCGCGCAGCGGCGGACCGAACGGCGAGGGCATGGCCGACGTGCTGCTGTCGCTCAAGCACGCCGTGGTCCATCCGGCCAGCCCGACGGGCGGCTACTACTCGAGCATGGGCATACCCGCGGGCCACGGCTACTCGCCCCAGGACTACTGCGGCCAGAGCCTGGGTCCCGGGCCCGGACAGACCGGAGCAGGTGGTAATGGTGCTGGTGGCGGTGGACCGCCGAGCTCGCACTACGCCCAGCCGCCCCCGGCCATGTCCGTCAACGTCTCCATGAACATGACCATGAACATGAACATGCATCCGGGGTGAGTAATTTAGAAAATATATGTACCGCGTCCGAACTCCTGGGGATTCGACCGGCGAGAGAGAGAGAGAGAAATTGCATAGCTCCGCAAGCACGCACGAGGCTTCGAAACTTTTCGATGAAAAATTCCTCTGCCCAAGCGGTGGTATTATTATTTTTGTTTCTCAACTTTTCCGAAGTCAATTTCAGACTAAAAATGATTTTAATTAAAACTGTCCGCCCACGTAATATATAACAGCGATATTCTGTACTATCTCGGGGCAAATAAAGCTCGACTTTAACGTCTAGAATACGAGAATAGAGCTTTGCAGCAAACATATGTTAATATCTATCGATTTAGTTTTATCGAAAACAATAACCTATTGTGTATAGTTATAGCAGAGAGAGAGAGTCGCGTCGACTAAATCAATCAGGCCGCATAATTCAATATACGCGAGTAGAGCTTGCACGTAATCAGCTCCTCTCTCTCTCTCTCTCTCTCTGTCTGCCTCTCGCTTTGCGCGCGCGCGCGCCCCTGAAACGCATACGTATAAATTACCCGATGAACTCTCGCTGTAGCTCTAAAATAGAGAGAGAGAGAGAGAAAAAAAAACTCGGTACAGTTTAAAGGCGCAAATAAGCTCGCGATCGTCGGCCGATTGCCAGCGATTGGTCGCGGCCCGCCATAGTTGAAATAGACGCGCGCGCGAGGCGTGTGCGCGACTCGGGAGGGGGCAACTCCATAGGTATAGTACTACGCGATATGTATGCTAAAGCGAAGCTTTCTACGTGTATATAGGCATGGCTACGAGCAGAGCTACGGCGGCGCGTGGGGCGTGGAGCCGCTTCTCAGTCCCGCCCCTCAGTACGACCCCCAGCCACCACAGCAGCAGCAGCAGCAACCACCACCGCAACCCGCGCCAACTCCGCAAGCTCAGCCACAAAGGGTCATCGGTCAGCCAACCAATGGCTTGGTTATTGCTCAGCAGCAGCAGCAGCAACAGCAACAACAACAACAACAAGCACAACAGCACCACCAGCAACAACAACAGCAGCAGCAGCAGCAGCAACAAGCCCAGGCACAGGATCATGGACTTTGTAGCGGGACACTGGGGCATCACGTGCCCCTGGCGTCGAGCGGCGGACAGGACGACGCCGCCAGGCCGAATCTCTGTCGGATCTGCGGCAAAACCTACGCCAGGCCGAGCACGCTCAAAACGCATCTCAGGACGCACTCGGGCGAGAAGCCGTTCAGGTATATAAGGACGATACACGAATGACGAATGTCGAGAGGAGAGCTTTTACTCGCAAGCTCGATAACGCGAATAATGTTTTTGCGCAGGTGTCACGCGTGCTCGAAGGCGTTCAGCCAGGCGGCCAATCTGACGGCCCACGCGCGCACCCACTCGGGCGAAAAGCCCTTCAGGTGTCCGATCTGCGACAGGAGGTTCTCACAGAGCAGCTCGGTCACCACCCACATGAGGACGCACTCGGGCGAGCGGCCCTACAGGTCTATAAATAATATTCCAACGTACATCGCGAGATAAGAGCGTATATAATAATGCTTTCCTCTCTATTCCACAGGTGTCGGTTCTGCAAAAAGGCCTTCTCCGACAGCTCGACGCTGACCAAGCACCTGCGCATACACTCGGGCGAAAAGCCCTACCAGTGCAAGCTCTGCCTGCTGAGGTTCAGCCAGAGCGGCAATCTCAACAGGCATATGCGCGTGCACGGCGGCTCGCTGACGTGACGATCGAGTGGCCCCACCATCGGCGCGGCGGCGGCGGCAGCAGCAGCAGCAGCAGCGGTAGCAGTAGCGACTCATAATCATCATCATCATCCCGACTATCGACATCACCACCCCCGCGACGCTTTTGCCTTTGTATCTCATCATCATCATCATCATCACCTCCCGAGCGCGTATAATCAGCTCCAGCAGCAGGACGTCCAGCAACAGCAGCAGCAACAGCCACCGGTGCCGCCTTGTTGCCGCATACCCGTCATACGGCTCGGAGCAGCGACTTTACAACGAAAATAATCAAAACTCTTTAGCTCCCCCCAATCTCTATACCGTATTGAATATCGAGTTTTACCTAAGAATCTTATTGTTATATAATCTAATTATTGTGGACTATTGCGTCGTTTTTCGACTTTCCGAAGCTCGCTCGTTCTCGAGGCCAAGTCGATAATATTTCCAAGAAAATCAAAATCGAAACAATCATAGTCTCTTGTGTATTATAATAAAAATTAAGAAAATGAGTTAAGCAGACTGAACGGACTTTTCGACTATAAAACAAACAAAAAAACAATTGTACGCGTTCAAGGAAATTTTTACAGACCGTCTAGGTGTAATATTAGGAGCTGTGTGTTTAATATTCATTCATGTTATTTTTAAAACAACACGTCTGTTTCGTGAATAACAAGTAAATTAAAAAGCAGCAAAATTATTGTCTATTGCGAAATAAAAACAACTAGTCTGAGTATCAAAGAATCGAAAAAAAAAGCAAAACATTTTTGTGTGTGATTTTTAAGTTAGATGAAAGAAATTTTTTGTATGAAATAATGAAATTATTGTGGAAATTGAAAAAAAAAACAATGATAAACTAGACGATAAAAGAGATATTAAAAAAGGAATAGGTGTACAAAAAACGATTCAGATATCAATGAAATCATACACCACGGCACCGTTGAATTATTGTACAAATATTGTATTTATTATATAATAATTATTATTAATTATAATTAATTGTAATGTTGCTGTTTTCACCACTTTCAATTATCATCTTGCGTGGCTTTTTATTTTTTTCTCGTTATCATTATTATTACTCGCCAACTTATTTTCATTTAAACGATACCTTTTCTTCTCACTTATATTCGACGATTCGCGTTTAATACTTTATAATTATTAAAAAAAAACTTTTCTGTCGTTTATGAAGTTTTCCGTTTTTTTCGCGCACACCATGACTTCTATTTATATTTATTTATATATTTATATAATGTGTTCTATATTCGCATCGAGTGAAACAATGTGACATAATCTCGGCATTGCCATTATTACATTATGTATAAAAGAAACGACACACGTATGCCTTGCTGTCTCATGTGTAATCAAGAATCGAAAATCACCCGGAGTCTAACGAGTAGTTTCGCGAATAAATTTAGAAAATCCACGCGTACAAGTATAATATTTTATCAATAACATATTATAATAAAAGAGGCAAGACAAGAAAACAAAATTTTCATTCGTCCAGCATAAATATTTTTACATACAATACTAATCATTTATTCAACTTGAAAAATCCTTGTCACTGAATCATGATTTCTTTACTCCTAATAATTGTCTCATTATCATCATTGTCACATCAATTCGAGACTCAAATTTGTCGATAGCGTGTTTTAATGGCAATATCACGACCAAAGATTAAAAAAGAAACAATATTTACTTTCGCTTAGTCCTAAAATTTTCGTTCAACGTCTTCGTAGTTTTTTGTCCTTTCAGAAATTTCATAACTCAATTTTACGTATATATATAATATATATTTATATAAATGTAATATAATTTGCGATGCATTTAACATCATCGTAGTGTCATAAATAAAACTTTTTTTTTATTAAACATCTGATTTTTTATGGGATCTCGCGTTATGATACGGGCGCACAAAGACGAGTTGGCCTCGTTTATTTATTTATTCTATTATAGAGAGAGTACTTGGATTATTTGTTTACTGATATTTCATCAAAGATTGAAACTGAAATTAGAAGCATTTTGGTATTAGGGACCACCTTGTCCTTCGGCAACCGTATGCAATTTAATGATACTTGTTTGCCTCATTCTTTCATTTATTTAAGCATACAATCTATTTTCAGACAATGTAAATTTCATGCTAATATCATTATTTTCACGTGTGATGCATTTCATTCGGTCATACAATCACTCATTCAATACTTTCACTCTCGACCTTACTTTAAATGGAAGAAAATAATTGATTGCATTTTTAATTACAGGCTTCATAAATTATTTTTGAGAAAGAGATTTAAAAGGCCTTGGATATGATAGAAAAAATTCCCCATTAATTTCCGATAATACGTCCACTTTCGTCATCTTATAATAATCACCAACTTGGTTAAAATATGCAATGGGTTGAAAAATTAAAAATGTTGATTAACTAAGATTTAACTATTCATTGATTCAATTTCATGATATAAAAGTCGAAAAAAATATAACAAACAATTGAATCATTATTTTTGTCATAGTAGATCTCTGCCAAATTATTAATGTTCAAATTAAATATTTAATGACAACAGCAGTTTTAGTAGAGAACAAAAATTAATTTTCATTTTTGAATTATTTAGTACTAGTGATTCTAAATTCAATTAATTTATCTACAATAGTGAGAATATTTTTCTTTATTTACTCAATTCATGTATATAAAAAGTATTACTAACGAAATCAGTGATAATCAAATTGTAAAACTGAATATTATAAATATAAGATCCAAGCTGTGGCATGGCATCGATCTCATTGGAAACATTCAAAAATATCTTTAAATAGAGTGGATTTGAAGAATACAATCAAGTATACTTTGTAGATAGTAACTGTGGCCATTAGAAATGATATAAAATTATGTAAAAAACTAAGATGGTTTTAAAATTCAAAGTCAGTTTTAATAACTTTTCATAGTTATTTTTTTAATCTTCTTTTGTAATGCATTTATTCATGTATAAGCTCATATGTATACACATACACACATAAAGGTATATGTATAAATATTTGTCGCTTGAATGAGGAAAATTATTAATCTTGAATATGCATTCACAAATTCAACTATCCGATATTTTAGTTTTAATTTCAATTCCAATGCCGGACGAGTCTCAATAAAAGTAAATGTTAAGTTAATATACGCATATAAATTTTCAATTTGAATAAATACAACACAGCATAATTTACTTATGTACTCCAAGTGGTCGACTCGAAGTCTCTTATAAACATAAAAGAATAGTTGAACTTAGAAAAAAGGTTTGTATAGTTAAGACTGAGTACCGTGAAACCCTTTACAGGAAAAAAAAGAAACGCCAAGTTGGTGCTTGAACGTTGAGAATAAAAAGATCATGAAGGGATTTCAAATTAGATTAATAATATCCAATAAAATAATTAAACAGTGTGCTGATTTGCAAATCATAATATAAAGCAGCTCCGTGCCAGTCAACTTGACACAGTCCGACCAAAACAAAAAGAAACATTTAAAAACTCATAAATAATTTCATGAAAGTATTATAATGTACATAAATATTACAGATTTTAATAATGAGATAAATACACATTTGCGTACTGTATAAAGAAGCGCGTACGTGTGATTACGAATATATTTCTATCCATAAATTTTATAAATTTAATTTATGTATCACGTATAAAGAACATGTGTACACGTGCAGCATCAATACGTAGTTGTTACTTATATTCCACTTCAAAATTAAATGAAAAAGAGGTCGTCGGCACGGAGCACACGTAGTCTCGGTGAAACGAAACACTCTCTCTTTTTTTCGCGCGTTCTCTCATTCTATCGTTTGTTCACATCTCACAAAAAAGTTACATTAAGAATTCTCCAGTCGTAGGATCGTAAGAACGTTCTTGTTTGCTTTTATCTCTTTATCATTGATGATGATTTTATTTGTTTAGTTAATTTTAATTTTTTTTTTTTTTTTGTAAAAATGTATTATGACATGTGTAGTTGTAGCTGCAGTTATGTGGTAGCAATTATTCGATGAAGCTTATCACAAGCAGTATTTTTTCTGGTCACTCTTGTTTCACAGCATTTAATAAGATGGTAAGTGTCTGCAATGGCGTAGCTGGTTTCCGTTTAAAATACTTGAGTTTGTATTCGAGTTTTTTTAATCCGACCAGTTGCACATTCCATTCTCTTGATGGCGAAAAAGTCGCAACAACGTTCACTTTTGCTTGTCGATGATTTTTTTGATGAAGATTCTATGGTGTCGGTGGTCTAATTAAAGTAGGGGGGAGAAGCGATGATGGTGTTTGATGATAATGACTGGAGGACAAGGTCATTCAGGGTCAACGAGGGCTTGGAGCTGGAGGACTGGGCCGAGGATCTGGATCGTTGCAGATGTTGTGTGGTAGACCACTTAGTGGACCGGCAGATGGTACCCCCATCTGTCCTGGCAGAGGAGCACTTGACGAATTAGGACCACCTGAGCCTGGTCCTACTCCGAGGTTACCAGGCCCACCAGCGGTAGGATGGCCTGATGAGAGAGGAGCCTCATGCGGTGTCGTCGAATGAGCCTGCTGCAGCGCGGACGGTGGATAGTAGCCGCCGTTGACTCCATCAGGATAGCCGCTGCGGAGAAAGCGATAAATGCATTTTTTGGCTTGCTTGAGACTGTCCTGCTTCTCGCACTCGGAGACTCTCTCTCTCTTGTTTATTAACATTTGTTTTTTCAATTTTTTATTTGTTTTACAGCAGAGAGAGAGACACCTGCGTGTCGTAGTAGCTTTATCACAGACGCGGATCCTCGAAGCGGCACGCGTAACTTTTTTTATTTCTCACGCTCGCACACACTCTTTCTCCTCGGCACGACTTTGCACTATTCGACTCTCTTTTTCTTTATACCATTGATTCTACAATTTCTTTTTGCTTTGTTCGGCACTTTGTATTAATATTATAATTATTTAATATATAAGAGTTCAAAATTGTCTCTTTCGCTCGCTCTCACTCTAGATTTGCTGGCTAGCAGCTCTTACACATTGAGTAAGCAGTGTCATTGTAGTAGAGCACATCAGTGGCTTCAGCTCGCTACTTTTCAACGAGTTTCACATGATTCATTTCTGCTTGAAAGACTGTTTCTGCAAAAATTATTACGTATTGCTTTTTCGTGTGGCATAACCGGGCCCAAGAGAAAGAGCTAAGTGGCTATGTTTGAGTTTGGTTTTATCCTAAATTAAAAGGCGTGCATGCTACAGTTGTCATGAGTCAAGTTTTGAGAATACCTTTTTTCAGGTAGAAAGAGCAAGAAATACCTACTTATGAAAATTAATTCACCTACAAACTATTTTGAAATCTACTTTGGCTTTGCATAGGTAAGAATTTTTTTTTTAGGAATCAATAATAACAATTACCTTCGCCAGAGTTTAAGATACAAAAGTTTTATTGAAAAATGATCATTTGAACTTTAAAGTTTCTTACCTACATACAACAAAGACTAAAGTAATTCAATCAGATAGAATAAAAATGAAAGAAGCGAAGAGAGAAAATGTATCTAATTAACTTTACTTTTTACAGTTATATAAACCTTTTCAAGGTTTTATTACTTTCTAAACTCGACGCTTGACGACTGTAATTAGTCGTAGCGAATTTTCAAAATCGATTAAAAATAACTTACGAAGTAGCACTATGGTTGAAGTATTCCTTATTAACGCAGTTCCTCAAACATTCTGGTACGCGCCCAACAATTGCACGTCTTATTTCGCTAGCTGCCATTTCTCTTAGTTCTGTGCAGCTGGCGTCACTGTAGAATGCAGCATGAGGTGTGCATAATAAGTTTGGTGCGTCTTTTAATGGACCTGAAAAGCAGAGTATTTTTATATCATCTTAAGTCATTCGAATATGCGTATAAATAATATGTGTATCAAAAATGATAATATTAAAAACTCCTTACAGTTACCCGACGCGCCTTGGAAAGCATTGTATGGTTCATTTTCGTGGACGTCAAGAGCAGCAGCTCTAATTCTTCCTTGTTTTAATGCTGATGATAATGCATCATCATCCACTAAACCTCCTCGTGCAGTATTGACGAGGAAAGCACCTGGTCTCATCTACGATAAGTTAGATTATAAGATTCATGCAGAAATACTTAAAATATTGTAAAATATTATTTTGCTCTTACTTGTTTAATAGTGAATTCATTTATCAAATGATGATTGTGCTCATTCAGAGTACAATGTAGAGAAACACAATCTGATTGAAATAACAAGTCCTGTAAAATCATTAAATATGGGTTATTGATACAAACTCGGAGCAATTTCTATTGATGCATTAATATTAAAAAATTAATCAATTTTACCTGCAAAGTATATACTCTTGTTAAACCAAGTGATTTCTCAATTCCATCAGGAAGATATGGATCATAAAATATGACATTGAATCCAAATGCTTTTGCACGGAGAGCTACGGCAGAACCAATTCGACCTAGCCCAACAATTCCTAGTGTATCACCTCTTATCCTTGCACAACCTTGAGCTGCTTCTCTCACCTTTAAAAATCAGAATAGGTTTGAGTATAGTTTATAGATTTTTTTTCAAAAAGATAAAGTTGAATTATTCATAAATGAAGTACCTGCTCTGGACCTGTGAACTTTTTGCCCTCTCTTACCATATTGGCTAACCAATATGTACGTCTGTACAAATTTAAGATGAGGCAAAGAGTAGTATCTGCAACTTCTTCTACACCATATCCAGGGACATTACATACTGCAATACCGAGATCACCAGCTGCTTTGACATCTATGTTGTCAACTCCGGAACCAATTCTTACAATGATTTTCAGAGCTTTGAATTTTTCAAGGTCTTCTTTAGTCAAAATAATCGTATGCCACATAAGTGCACCCACAGCTTCATTCAGTACCTGGACACAGAGAAAATTATAGAAATGAGCAGAGATTGATATAGAATGAATTACACAGACAAATAAAAGAATTCATACTTTTTCATGTATTTCAGAAGTTGATTGTGCGTCACAGAAAGCCACAGTTGCAACATCTTTTAAGATGGGCATTTCGATGGAGCAGTCTCTTCCATCGAGTAAAGCCACCAAAGGTCTCGATTGAATGGGTCCATTATTGATTGGACCCCCCCTAATGCTTTCCATACGTGGTCGTTTGGGCATCATCTTCCGTTTGTTCATGGATTAGATAGCCCGTCGTGTGAGAAAATTGCAGCCTACTCACAGGCTTGGGTAATTGTCTATTCGCGGTCGCTTTGTCAAAAAGTGTACCAAAAACTGTTTTTTTTTGGTAGTAAAAATAGGGTTACATGAAACAGCGTCGATGACAGCGACTACACAGTCACAGTGATTCTTGAGTAGTGGCAGGTACGTCCAAAGGTGCAACAGAAAGGATGATTGTACCGGCGTATCTCAAATACATCACGGCAGCGATGCGTCTCGATTGTTTTGGTCACTCCTACCTGAAAAGACAGATGCAGAAACGTAAGCAACAATCGGTCAGACGGACAAATTCGAATGCAAGTTTATGTAGTGTAGGTGATGCGAGACGACGGCAGAGACAAAGGACAGCGATTGTGTTATATAGAATACACAGCAGCAGCGCAGCAGCTACCAGTAGTCGTATCGTAACGTGGGAGGTTATGTATTGCGCTTACTTTGGCGGTGCACACGGGAGATGGTCGACTCTTTGCGGTATCGAAGGCGAGAAAAAAATTGCAACGCCGTGTTTCCGCGGTCGACGTACAGTACGTAAACCCAAGCTTGGCGAAGACTCGGGGGGCCCCCGAATGTCTATAGGAACAGGAGCAACGCGTGAACGCAAAAGTGAGAACGAGGCACGGGCACACAGCCGCGAGAGATATACGCAGGGAGAGGAGAGCAAAAGGACGCGCGCCAGCCAGCGAGTGCTGTAGAGCGAGACAGAGCGAGTGCGCGCTGAACTCGGACCGAGCAGCGTACAAGGTTTTTGAGGTTATAGCCGGTGGCATCGAGTGCTAATTCATTCTCGGGGGCAGTTTTTTAGGGGCACCGAGTTCGCGATTACGCACTTGAGAGTCGTCGCAGCGCACGGTGTTACCGAGCGATTGGCTGTTATCGTTCGGGAGTCCTCGTAATCAATGGTGCGCACACATACGCACGACAAGAGCAGCAGCAGCAGCAACAGCAGCAGCAGTGAGAGAGACACACATATACGCGCTCGGATGCGCACAGTAACACGAGAAGATGGACATAAGCAAAGGCACGGGGGGCTCTCTCTCGTTGTAACGCGGGGGCGAGTTTGGAACTATATCGCGTCGAGGGCCAGCAGACTCGGCTGCACCGTGACTCCTCGCACACTTGCTGCACTTACTTCGCACTCACACAGAGATATTACACGCATTCGGGATATATACTCACGCCTCTGTATATGTATAACTATATCGAGAGAGCTAGAGAACGAGCACATACGCACACGCACCACGCACACTCGCGTCGTCCACGTATTACACTGATGCAAAACTGCGGTGTCGACGAGGAGAACGAACGAACCAAAAAGCAGCGGTAAGCAGCAGCACAGACTGGCTATAAGCTCTCTTTTTCCAACGCACCTGCGATCGATGAGTTTCCGAAGTGTATGTTATATGTATACGAGAGCCGCCGAGCCGAGAGCCGCAGCAATCAGACTCGATTAATCAACTGTGTAATATTCGCCGCGCGCGCGACTGACACATACGCGCAGAGAGAGAGCAGCGTATACAAGTCTACAGTCGTCGAGTAAGTCGGGCCACGCACACCCACACACACACACACACACACTCGCGCACGGACACACTTATATACTGTTACTACTACACTCACTGCGAAACAGAGAAAGAGAGACACGATCGACAATGTTCGTATAGTAGTTACACGACTGGTCCGCGAATTATGAGTCCGTAACGGTGCGATGACGACAACACGATCAGCAAAGCAGCGCAGTAGTGTAGTCTCTCGATATATACATAAGCATTAAACGCACAGCAGCGCAGCACACTGCGAGAGCCTGCGTAATTGTCTATGTGTGTATGTCTCTCTATGTACGTGTGTATGGATGGCCTATGGTCCGCCGAGAAAACTCGTACACATATCTGTAAGTGCGCACGCGAAACCAACACACTGCCAATCGCCAATCTGTGTGTATGTGTGTGTACGTATTACAGTATATATACTTTATATATTTGTACGGGGATAGGACAGTGGCGGCAGCAGCAGCAGCGGCGGTCGGCGCGCGCCTCTCTGACACGGCTTGGGGGCCGATGTTTTCGGAACGGTTTTCTCAATGGCTATAAGCCGCAGCAGCGGAGAGCCGCTTCGGCTCTCTTTCGCCGCTGCTGCTTATGTATTTTATACACTGATACGTGTATATTTTGTACATATATATATATGCACGCGTCTATCGGTACTCTCTCGGTGCGATGCTCGTGCGCATATACACGTTCGTGTCTCTGCGTGCGGTGCGTAGAATATAATACAAGTATACAACGTATACTTTCATGCGAGGCGTTGCGCACGCACATAATCCCGCGAAAAAGAAAGAGAACTGATATACTAACAGTCGCGCCGCGCTATACAACATACGGGCTACACACGAGAGAGACTCGAGTCTGGCGCGCTCGCGCACGAGGGAGGAAGAGAGACGGACAGAGAGAGAGAGCAAGAAACTGCACAAATATGTATATATGGTTGATTCTCCCGAAATCTGCTTTTTCGGGTATGGAAAACGAAAAAATGGTGAAAATTTTTTTGTCATATTGAACGGCGCGAACTAGTTTACCCTTTTTTAAACCATAAAATATGAATAATTATTGAATCTGGGGCTTTGAGATTTCGTTTTACGAAAACTATGTCCGATTTTATGCTTAAAATCGACTATTTTCGGTTACGGAGGTGACACACACGGAGGTGACAAATCGCTGCTTTGATCAACTATGTAAGAAAAATAAGAAACGCACAAAATTTTCCGCACAACCCGAAATTTGGTCATGAAAAACGAGTCTTTTGACGGGGCGAGCGGTTAAAAAGAATGATCATAGCTCGAGATATTCATGTCCACGGAGGTGACCGTTTTTTTGACACACGTGAATTTTTCAATAGAATAATTATCGCAGCATCGATAAAATGTAAAATTTGAACCCGCAACCTACACCAATCGAAAGCTGGGCTATAATACTTGACATTTACGTATCTAGCGACATCAAAAATGAGTTAGCGACCCAAAGCAGGCGGTATGTTTGAAATTATTCAGAAGCATGATTAAAATCCGAGACATTTTTCAATTGCGTGGGAAATTTTTTTAAAACATTTTTCAAAGCCCTATAATAGACTTAAACTTTACTCTGGATGTATAGAAGCTGGTCTCATAGTTATTATAGGGTCAGGTGCTAATGAGAATGCATGGTACATGCAAATAGAGTTGATTTTGAGATGTAGACATGCCACGGAGGTGACATTTGGCATGTATATCTTCACGGCAAATTTAACTGACCCTAAAAAATTGAAATATTTATGTCCTATCATGAAGAATACAACAATATTGAATGAATGACCGAACCAGTTTTGGCTCATCTTCACTAGTTTAAGAATATGGCATAAAGACATGCAAAAAGCAGATTTCAGGAGAATCAACCATATATATGCTGTATAAGCGGCCAGCGCAGCAGCAGCATCGGAGACGGGACCGCGCCGTATACATATACAGAGCCGAACGTTTTCGAAAGGCGCTAATTGTGACTATGTGGCGGCAGCGGTGGTGGCGCGCGGGGCAGCACAACACAACACGCGCAGCACGAGTCGTAGTCGTGTACCGACTCCTATATAACAATGATGGACTCCGTTATGATTTTTCCCTTTTTTTTCAAAATCACATATAGCTCGCCAACTTGCGCACGCTTCACACAGCTCCATATACATAACTGTCAATTACTTCTAATGTTTGGCTTCGTGGAATTTCGGTAGTTCCTCCGTTGCGCGGGTGATATCTCCTACTCGACGCGAGATAATTATGTTAACGAGCCCAGAGGAAGACAATGATCGGTAGTTAGACAATGGGCACGAATGCCTCGCCGAAAAGTTCCTTATCGAGAGCCTCCTCCTCGCAATCAGCGCTATCTATCTCTTGGCACTGGCTTGGCAGCGGCGGCGCAGATATAATCGAGAGTAGTGCATCGTCGAGCGCAAAGATCGGAGCAGTCGTCGCTCTATCTCGATATTTGCTTTTTGTGCTTCTGTCGTATATACGGTCACACACACATTTGGCCGCACACGGATACGCGCGGAGCACGAGCTATATTATACGAGTCACCGCGCGGAGAGCAGCGGTAATACAGCAGCGGCAGCATAACAATAACAACAACAGTTTATATATAATACACGTATTGTAGAGAAGCAGTGCGAGAGAAGGGGGGGAAGGGGGAAGCAAAACAGTATAGCGGAGCCGCACATGAGGCATCGCACCGTATATATATATAATGCGGTGTATTACGAACGGCCCAAGCAAGTGCAGAGCTAAGCACTTTCACGCGGGCGTCGTCGATTTTTCCTCGAGTTAGCGCGCGCGCGCGCACACGCGTTTATCTCTATATACGTGTGTGTTATAGTGCGCGTCTGTTGCTCGCATTGCCCAGAGAGAGAGAGAGCTCCGATTCGTGTGTATACATACACATGTGTGTATATGCTGCGAAAGAGAGAGAGAGAGAGAGAGAGAGAGAGAGCCATTGCGTTTGAAAACAGCAGCAGCACATGTTTTGCCAACTCAGCGAGTCTCGAAACGCAACAAAATGTCTCCCCTCTCTCTCTCTCACGGGCTCGAGCTCGACAACACACCGCCACCGCCACCACCGCTGCTGCTGCTGCTGCTGCACATACAGGCACCCGTCGTATACATAGACAAATATTTTGTTACATGCTTCATGTGCTGTACACACTTTCTCTCTCTCTCTTTCTCGCTTCTTTTATATAGGTAGACAGGCACACGTAGATAGAGATATATAGACGTCGCGGGCGCGCGCGCCTACGCGATTATCGCCGGGACACAAAGAAAATGAGAGAGAGAGAGAGAGAGAGATTACGCGGAGCACTTTAAAACTCCGTAATCATCGCGGCGGCGGCTCCGTTTAGCAGATTGACAGCTATAAAAACGTATCCCCGTAATAGGAAGCCGGAAGTATTCAGGCACAAGGACCAGAAGAAAGTGAACGTCGTATACATGCATCGACACGCCTCTACCCCCGTTGCAATTCGCTAGATTAAAATCTGCTGCTGCTGCTGCTGCCTGCGCGCCGATTCATATTATCGAGGATACAATGTATATATAGTATATATAGGTAAGCACGCGTTCGCGCAATCCCTATATATCTAACGAATTACTAGATAGATAAGTCGTGCAGTACGCGCGCGCAGCGAGGAAAACGAGAAGAAAAAAAGTCAAAGAGAGAGAGAGAGA